TCATCTTTTTATTATATACAGACATACAAACCGTTACGAACTAACTGACATCTTTGATGTGTTGTATAGTATTCAAATCACCCTTTGATCTCTCTTAAGTAAAATTTATAATGTGGTCTGAGTGTTCATTCAGCAACTGAAAGCGCTTGTCCATCTCTAATTGTGTAGAGCAGATGATGACACAATTTCTACATGTCTACAGTAGAATAATGTCAAGAGATCGACCACTGGTGATTCCATCTTGGACATAAAGGCAATAGCACGGCTTGGTGCCAGTGATTACTCTCCCATCTCCGGCATTCTGATTTGTTCGTAATATGTTCAGGATCATCCGAAAATTGAGTAGTTTAGGCATTCTTTCGCAATATTTAACCTAATGAGTTAAAACTTGGACATTAAGAAACGATAAAATTTGAAGTGTTGCAAATGTTTCGGGAAGTTTTGCAGTGGAAATATAATAAATTGTGTTGGAGAAAAAGGCCCCATCTGAATTGCTGTGAAAAGATAACGCCAGAAAAGCACTGTTAGAAATTCCATGAAATGAATAAAAATTTCAGTATTAGTCACCTGAACAGGCCTAATCTTCTGTTACGAATACAGTTGGCCAGACCGCGCACACGATACCATAGAAGTTGCACAACTAGCACTGTAGAAGCTGAATGAGTTGGGCTAGAGGACAATGGCTCACTCAGCTGGACATCGCATCAACCTACTTTTTCAAGCACATGGGCGGCTACTCTTGACTAAATATTTCCAGTAGATACGTCGTTGCTACATATATCATCAGTGAATTCTTCATTTCCAGAATTCCAGACTTCCATGCTACTGGAATTAATAAACCTGTATTTTGTCAGGCAAAAATGTGCAGATTCCAGTCGCTTCTCATTGCTTAAATTAATGAATTTCCTTAAGACTAATTAAATTTTTAAATCTTTCGCACAAGGATTAATTCTCGGCCAGACTATTAAAGCGAAATGAAAAGTTAGCACCATATACAATGAGGGGTTTCAGTTCTTTACTTCTACACGCTTAAGAAAGCGCCACATGTTCAGATGCATACAGTTCTAAGCTTTCATTCGCAAATCTGCTAAGCATTAAGAACTTCCCTGTTTTTCCATCATAATTCTTTCAGTTAGTGAACAGTAACGGAATAAAGTTACTATCATCAAGGTTCAAAATGGAAGAAATGATATGAACTAGCTGGGATACATGCAAAGCGAAGGACCTGGATGGTGCAGTGGTGAAGTGCGCTGCTCCCCGGTAAGGACAACAGCGCGTGTTCGTTTCCCACTGCATACACCTGTGTTCCGGAGTTCTGCAAATATCTCAGCACTTCATACGAGAAACGATATGATTTTAGTAGCAATCACATGTTGTGAACACTTTTTGAATCGCAAGAGGCAATAGACAAATTTTAGAGATAAGGTTTCGGAGAAAAGTAATAGGAGACCGAATATTCGTTCCACGTAGTCCTGTATTATGTGTGAAGTTTTGAACTAATTTGTTTTATGTGACTTTCAAATCACTCGTAGTGGTTTTTTTTATGTAAAAATAGGTATATGCGAAGCGTAGCATGTGTCCGCTGTATTATTGCAGCACATCGTCACTTCGATTAAGATTTCCCTTTGTTAAAACTTTACCATCATGATTTCTACACTCTTCGTTTTAGTAAGTGAGAAGATGTTTCTCATTACATGGCTAGCAAGTCGTATGACTGTCACGCGAAAATTGGAATATTCACGAGCTTTCCAACTTTCATGCCAATGAATCTCCACCACAGGCAGCAACATCATCGTCTGATTCTTAAAATTACTGCTATTCAAGCTGGTGAGAATGTCTGTTGTGAGGTCACCTCGTTCCGTCGAAAATGATCTTGTTAGAGTCGCTACGGTATCAGGAAAGTTTACATGGTTCTCAATATTGCGGTTTTCTAAAACGTCAAAATAGTCAATGTCGTTGTTTTTGATGTTATTGATCGATGGCTGACGTTTCGGCGACTTCGCCTTCCTCAGATCCTGGGCGTATTTTATGTTAGAATACTTTTTATAATACCTTATCCTAACCCAGCTGTTAAAAGTCACTCCAACCCATCTACCTAACACCAAAATATTTCTAGATCATCTAAGGCGCGCGCAACCAAACAGCACGCATATAGTGGAGTCATTCGATGTTAGTTCACTTTACACCAACGTGTCCAATGACCCCCCAATGCAAACCATTTTCGAGTTGCTCGTAGAGCATGAAAAGAAAATAAAAATGCACGGCTTATCGATTGCGCAACTAATGACCCTCTTAAAGCAGTGTCTTAGTTGTTCAATCTTTAGGTGGTCTGGAAAATATTTTGCACAAATTAGAGGGTTGGCGATGGGGCAGCGTTAAGCACCAAGCCTTGCCATCGCTTTCATGTCTAAGGTGGAAGCTCCAGTTCTCGATCACCGACCCTTACTCTACTCTCGACACTGAGACGACTGCTTCATCGTCTGTACCACACAAGAACAGATGGATGAGTGCTTTGAATTATTAAACCGACAGTCAGAGTATACAAAATTTACGCGAGAAAAACCTACCGAGTACTGGCTTCCATTCTTAAACATCCAAATAAAGCTCTCAGTAAGTGGCTATTTAACAAAATGGTATCGCAAGCCAAGTAGTAAAAACATTCTAGTCCACTGCCTCTCCTGTCATCCTTCACACATGAAAAAAGCACTTATCAAGAATATGTATCGTACGGATACAAATGTGTGTACAGGAGGAGAGGAAAGGAAGGAATCGCGAAACCTGGCACGAAAAGTTGCCATTTATAATGGCTACGAAGCAGAAGCCGCTCGGGTTAGACAAAAATGTAGGGTAGTTTCCCAAAATAATATTTCAGACGAAAGTAGGATCCCCTTTAAGCTGCCCTTCATATCAAATGAAATAAGTCACGCCATTAAGACGTGCTTAAGAAAAGTGGTTTTAAAAATTATGTAACGATTATTGCCATCCCACCCAATACCCTACGCCGCCAGTTAGTTCGAAACCGTCTCTATGATCGTTTGTGCCACTCAGAAAACTGTACGATCTGTCCTAACGGGAGAGACGGAGATTGCATGAGTTTAGGTATAATATACTTGATCTCATGTAATGCATGCGGCGAGGAATATATCGGGGAAACGGGTAGACCACTTTGTGTTCGCATAAAAGAACATCTAGATGGGAAAGCTGAAATCCGTTTAAACACCCCTTTAGGTACGCATAGGGCACAAAAGCACAACGGCGATGATTTTGAAGTGAATGTGCGGATCCTAGTGTAGGAATCAAAAACATCAACGCGCAAAACTCTTGAGGCGTTTTGGATAAATTTCAAAAATCCAAAGATGAACCGAAGGACGAATGCCTCACTATCACGCGTGACCCGGCGCTCTATTTCAAAATGATATTTTGATCCCGGGATATGTCTTGCTTGCGACTCCACGTGTGGGCCAGTCCCACACGTAACATCACGGTGAGTGGCCTTTCTGTTCAATATGGCGTCTATTTGAAAGTTTGATCTTCATTAACACTTTAACCTTCTTTTCCACCGAATAATAAAAAAGTATTCTAACATAAAATACGCCCAGGCTCTGAGAAAGGCGTAGTCGCCGAAAAATTAGCCATCGTTCAATAACATCAAAAACAACGAAGATCTGTGCCAACCTCGCATCAGCTTAAGAAGATCAGTTTATAAGATCACATAAATATATCAACTATCTATGCCGAGGTTTATAGAAACTCGGTCTTTCGAGCTGTCAAAATAGTCAGTAAAAAGTGAGGAGAATTGGCCTCGTACTGAGTGCGTAGTCGTTAAACTCCCCTAGTTCGCATTGTTCTTCATTAGGATGGCGGCGAGTGAAATCGAATCACAACAACTTGCATCGTTCACAACCTCGCAGTGCTTGATCTGAGAACTCTCATTGTTAATTCCAGCCGAAGTATGGAAGGATCTCTTTGCTGTTACTCAATATAGCTTTTCACGTTTAGTGAATTCTCTTTCTCTCTTTCTCACTGCTGTAATCTTGAATCAGAGTCAGTTATGAATTATTACCCCTCGGAAATCAATTGCATGAAAAAATCTACTAAAACGTGGAAAACAGGGCGAAATTTCTTTTAAGTTTACCGTACGGACATTTTTATAAAAGCGATTGCATGAATTACAGCTTTGATAATTATTAGAGCATATCAAAATCCTTTTCATCGTCTCTGCAATTCTTGCCGATTCGTTGATTCTTTGCTCAGTGTTCTGCTCGTTTTCTATCAACCAAAGATTCTTTGAAGCATTTTCCTTCTTTTAAACTGGTTAAGAACCACTTGTAGTGTTTTCTATTTTATCACCCTTCTCAAATTGTTGCCAACGAACGATATTGTAAGTGTTAGCTGTAAGTGTTGGAAAGCTGGTAGAGATAGTTCACCGTTTCGACTGCATGAAATTCTTTCTAGAGAACATGGACTCTCTCTGTTCAAAGCAACAACATCGACTGCACATAACCTTTACTCAGTAGAATTTTAGCTCTAAAGTGCTTAGGACTACTTGGCGTTAATAACAATAGTGGAAATATGTTCACTATGAGTAATAAGCATTAAGGGACTTTCAATTTCGTTACCGTATCTCTTATCCTAGTAAGGCGTTCGTCTGTTTTGCGGTATATGGTTTTTTCGAGAAACTTTGATACATCAATATTAGGTTTAGCGACACCTATCAAAGTCAGAAAACGAGGTGAGTGAAATGAAGTGTTTATATTGTCCTCAAGGATATTTTCTTGTAAGAAATTGTAGTGTAATCGGAATGGATCTTTTTCAAAAAATAACACAGACTTGTTATGAATAGGTGAACAATTTACAGAAAAAACAAATCATATTGGTTTCTTCAACTTTCAAATTCTCTATAATGTTTAGCATTTCGCAGTTCTTAGTAGGGCAGTAAAAAGAGATCAATAGACTTAGTGAAAATGATGGTAGAACTGAACGAATTGCTTCAATAGCCACTGCGAATTCTTCAAGTTTCAGATTCGACGCCAAAACCGAAACGCGAAACGGTTGTGAACTACGAGTTTACGGAAGACTCAGTACCGCCGAGTAGTTGTTGTTGTGGAAAAATAAAAGTCCAGGTAGGAAATCAGGTGTCAAATTACCTATTCACCTGGACTTAATCAATGTAATACGAAAAAGCTAGTAATAATAAAACCAGTAGGTGTACAGGATTTAAGCTACGCAAACCTGCGACGACCTTTAACAGTATTTTTACGAGGTTGATTTTAAATTTTGAAAGAAATTTACTGCCTTATAGAAACCTAGGATCTGTTAAATTACAGCGCCACTTCAAAGATTTTGCGAGCGAAAAAGTGACGCTTGTAGTTCGTCTAATATTATCCATTGTTCGTACTCATCAGTTTCTTGTGTAACCTTCGCGTCCACGACGCTTTCGAAAGTAACATGCCAAGAAGTATACTTGTTCTACCCATCTAATACAAGCTTTTCGCAGCAGAATGTGAGCCGAACTCAGTTCTCGTCATCGTTGTTTAGGTCGGCTGCCGTATTGTCGCGATTTGTTCGCTGCTAGCGATAATTGCGAACGCGGTCCTCTACTTCTTCGGAATCCCACGACTTGGTCTCAGTGGAACGATTGAGATTCTTCTACTCATCGTCGACTTTATCACTGTTTTCTTTCTGTTTCTCGGACTATCGAAGAAACGAGCGCGATTGCTAAAGCCATACCTCTTTTTCAATGTAAGGCTGTTTGACATTCATCAATATGTGATTGACTGATAAAGGGCACTTTGGTATTTCAGTCGATTTGGACTTTATTGCTTTGCTTCCTACTCGTGGTATGTCTATGGAAGCTCATCAAGGGAGGCGAGCTATCGAACAACATTCTCTTCAATCTTCACAGTATTCGCGAACAACCAACTGAAAATTTCGACTACACCTACCATCGGCAAAAGCATCATGTGATTCACGTGTCAAATGGAGGTATGTATGCCTTTCACGTCCTCATGGCCAACGATATCTACTCACCCGCAAACACAACTTCGGATGCGTCCTTCCAACATTCATAATTTGTTAAAGATTCTATTGATATATTGGTATTAACACTTAAAATCATTAACAAGAACCTGAATTTTCCAAAAAGCTCAAGTTGTCCTGTTAGACCGCAACTGTTATGAACTGCTTAATTATCTCATTAACTATGTGCTATGTGCCTTTATATTCAATTCAATTTATTCGCTATTCTATTTCATACGAGACTTTCACTGAATCATTCGTAAACAATCTCACTGCGCTTTTTACGTAGAAAAACAAGTACTTTTAAGTAAAATTGTAGATTTGTTAATATTTCAAGCCTAAAGACCTTCCTCAAGGAATTTGAGTGCAGTGCTTCAACGGCTAAGCTGTAATCGCTAGAAATCGCCACGTAACCAATGAGAAAATTTTATCGGCCGTGGTAGTTGCGTGCTTTCCCTTGTCCTATGATTGGTGAGCGGGTTTGACATAAAGCTTTCAATCAACAACGGTCGTACAAGTAAAACTTGAGTCCTGTACGCTTTCTTCTATTCGTATTCAATTTTTTATTCACTTATCTATTTGGTGAGCTAAGAACAACCCCTATCACAGTCTCCGTTCTCATATCCAAAATAATATGATAGAGAATTGTGACTAGCGAAAATTCTCGTAAACTGACAGCTGTTGACTTAATATACAAAGGAAATACGAATATAATTTTATGAAAAAGATCCACCAGTTGGCACTTCGGTTATTTTTCCCAGTTCACTAACGATATTCATGACTTCACTTTCAACTAACTAGTAGTAGTATTGTGATTAAAATTTGGATTCAAGGTTCAACCAGCAAGACATATTTTCTATTAATCTCACCATTCCTCTGTAACTAAGAGTTCTTTTTTTCTCCGTGGACCAATTCGAGATTGTTAGTGCATTGTTTATTCATTAGGGAGTAGATAGCACAGTGGTAGTTATGACCGTCATAGCGACCATAGTGCTAGTTCACTTCTGCTCCGGGCCAACCAAGCTTCTCATCTTTCCGGCGTCGGAAAATTGGTGCCGGACTTGTCTGGGAAAAAATCGCTCTCTACAATCCAATTGGAAATGCTCCAGCCTGGCTATCTCAGGCCTCCAGGAAGAATTGTTTGACCAGCATTCTACGGCATTCAAGATGAAATGAAAATCCTCAAGCAGTAATCTTCGTGGACAATGGATGCAAGGAAGCGAATCGAATGCGAGAAATGCTGGGATACCTACAGTAGACGTGAAGACGGGTCATACAAATGAAATAAATATAAATAAATTGTTTACTCATAGAAGGCTATTATTTCGGCACTCTTCAGAGCTTGGACATCGTTTTTACTACGGGCAACGTGCTCTGCTAATCATCTTTGTAAAATAAACTTTAAAACTGAAATCTATGTTTCAGTTGCTTCTGAAGTAAACAATTCGATTTTTGAGCTGCCTAGAAGTTGTAGTAGTAGGAATTCTCAGGACCAACTTTACATCGACCTCAGCATTGATCAATGAGTCGGCTTTTTGTGAGCACACACGAGGTTGTTGCTGAGAAGAGTTATTCAGTATTGGCTGACTTCTGGGCAGATTCACTTTCTTCAGAGGCTAGAAAGGTCAAATTGACACTTATTCTACTAAGGTAAACATTTCCATAACCCAACGAGAAAAACTCCGCACATAAATTTGCACTGGCAAAATAAATAGCTTCCTTTAAACACTCACCGTTTTGTTCTTTGCAAATTTTTCAGTTATTTAACGGGAACCAGCTCTACATAGTGTCACATGGATGAGGGATGTTCCTGATTCATGTCAAAAATCGGCCTAGTGCGAGGTCAGCGTGATCACGCGACACTCTTAACTGCGGTCCATTTCTGGATTTTTGTAATTTATCCAGAACGCTTCAAGAGTTTTACGCTCTGATGTTTTAAATTCATACGCCAAGATAGTGGCTGTTACCTCAACATCTTTGTTCTGTTCTTGTGCCCAATTTTTACCTAGTGAAGTGCTCTATCTGTCTTTAGTAGTTTAGCCGTTTCGGCAGTGTATTCTTTCCTACATGCTTTAGAAGAAATTAGGTATGTGCCAGTAATTCAATAATTCCTACCTAATCTCTAAACTTATTCTCTTAGGCATCGCTTCATCGCAGTGTTTACTTCACTTGAGATAAAGAGAAATATAAACTGGGCCTCATTCTCGATAGGATTGTTGTTTGAGGCGTGGTTTCTCCTATATACCTACCCCGAGAACGTACCATTTCATGCCGATTGGAAATGGCTACTTGCATCGCCAGTTTCAAGAATTGTTCCTGCTGGCCTCTTCCTGTGCACATATTGGCGACTGTTGGAAACATGATTCCCACAACTGCCCGTTTTCTGTGTCAACGGTGACCTGTAGTGGTAGAGTTTTTAAGCTATTTCACGTTTTAGGGTTTTGTGTAATAATTGTCACTGATTTCTCTAAACTGGCCATTTCCAGCAACGCTGTACAGTGCTGTCTTCATTACTGGAATTAAAGGATAACTTGAGCGGAGACCTACCTTCTCCAAAATACACGTTTCGCGATGTGCTTGCTTTACACCTAACCGCAGTAACTAGTACTTCTAGCCATTTTGTCGCATAATATTAAATGATTCCTTCCTTTCCTTTTGTACACTCACTAGTGCTTGTGTTAAACTCAAGCGTCATCGTTGGATATCAATGAACATGAGAGATAACTGGCTATCATGTTTTTGTAGTGGCTTATGTAGCATGTAGGTTAGAGATGTCTTCCGAAACATACATGGTTCCCGGTTCGAATCCTCATCCAGAACCAATGGAATCCACCACAGCTCCAGGGTTGCCAAATTGCTGGCAGGCTAGCTTGAAGTTAAAAACTTACTTGGATACATGGAGGGCTCGCCCTCACTGGTTGTGCAGGCCCCAGCATATTCTCCATTTCTCGCAGATCTGCTGGTTTAGCCATTGTGGTTTCTTAGAGTTACGAGGTCAGCTTTGCCAAAGTCTGCCCCAAGTCGTCACCACCACTGGCAGTCGCCGCTTTTGCGGACCAGAGACTAGCAAGACGGTGGTGAATCCTGGTATTGGTTTACTTTTAACTCTGCTTCCTAAAGAAAACGCTGAACTCCTTCTCAGCTTAGGAAGCCTTGCAAGTGGATGAATCCCATCACCGTAAAAGGCAGCCCGACAGCCAGGTAAACATCCAAGCCACGAAGAGGTGGTAAACCATTAGGCTGAAGGTTACGAACGCTGATTTAAAATATCGGTAGGTCTCCACAATTCATTATTTAAGCTAAATATTGAGTTTAATCAAATTTAAGTTACATATATTTAAACGTTATCAACGAGAAGAAAAACGATATATTTCTTAACCACTTCTTTCCACAACACCATCCAACCGTAGAATCCTAATTGCGTGCTCACTTGTTACTTGACAGCAGCTTCCAGTTCAATGTACCTCATCAGAGGAGCACAGATAATGGTTATGCTCTGCTGAGTTCGATATCACTCAAACTTACGGCTACTCCCTTTTGTAAGTTAGAAGCAGCAAGGAACATCGGAAGGGCACACGACTGTTCCTATTTCTAATTAACAGGTCCCTATGTAACATCTTCCTCTGTAAAACCAGTAGCAGCAATTGACAGACGATCATTAACCTGGAGTCGATCAGTTGGTGTAGAATCGGTGCAGTAAATCAGTCAACGTTGCCTCAGTGTGTTTATACACTTCTCGTTGATGGCTTGGTAGCCAAGTGCTTTAGCCAGTTCGTGCATATTTGCACGTAGATGCCCTTCCCAATTTTCTTGCTTATTGTCATCGATGGGCTTCCTGATAGAAATATTCCCATCAGGAAGCAAAACTAAGAGTAAACCAATGTCAGGATTCACCACCGTCCTGCTATCTAACTAGTCGCATGGTGGGAAATCTCCCTCTGAACCACAAGGGCTGCGACTGCCTCTGGTAGCGACGACTTGGGGCAGACTTTGGCTAGACTGATCTCGGAGCACCAGGGAACCACAACGGCTAAACCAGCAAAACTCTGAAAAATGGAGATTGTGCCGGGATCCGCACAACCAGTGAGGACGGGCCTTATTGTCACCGACGGTTTATTGCCGGCAACGAATCTTCGTGAATTTCGAGACACGTTGTCATCATTGATAAAGTGAGAGAACCACTGAAGTATGCTGAATTCGCATATGGTCTGCCTTTGAGTTTAGCTCATGATACAAGTGGGTGTTAATTTGATAGAAGATAAAACGAATTAGCTCCGTTGATCACAAAAATTGCCGGAGCTCTTTCGAAATTAATTACCACAAATATAAAATATATTTCTCAATTTCAAAAGAGTAGCATAGACTATTCGGTAATTCTTCTAATCAAGAACATTTACGCCTAAGTTAGTTGAAGGCATTTCTAATTATTGGATAACTAGAGCGCCTAACAATAAATCTCTTTACGTATGTGCACATGGGTACACAATCAAGTGCAGTGATGAGATGAGAGCTATCCATTGAATCCACCTAAATTTCAGGACAAGTACATGGTTGCTTTGGGTGAATGTTTAATTCGTCATCCACTATTTCTCAGTGCACCTCTTAGCGTCGAGACTAACCACGTGTGACGGCATTACTGGGGAGAGGACCAGTCACAGTGTATAAGAATTACAAGATACAAGAGAGATGAAATATAACATCAAAACTGTTAAAACGATGACATGAGAAACTCCAAATTGAAAACTAAATTGCAAGATATTTTTTAAAAAAATTATTTGTATTCATCTTTTCTGTAATGAACGAAAAGAAGTTTGTAGTTGAAACTATTGACATTAGCGTGACAATGTGCAACAGCTTAAAAAGCTAAAGTTCTCGGCGATTATCAGTCGTTGAATGATGCGCCATGCATTCAACTTCATTAATCATTGTTGGAAATGAGTGAGTGCATATCTGGCCCTTACAACGGCTCGCGGTGGTCTACCGATATATCGGGCCAGTGCTGCTATCCTCTCAGAAAACTCTGGTGCCAATTTGTCCCCAAGGAGGGATGGAAGGTTTGGTGAGTTTGGTGCTAGATTCGATCTCATGTGTATTGCAGGAAGCCTCCGACCACTGCACCACAAGCGCCCCTCAACATCTTAAAATGTACTATAGAATGAATGCATTTTAGTAGGAGTACGGTGTGAAAACTTATGCGAAATGAAACTGCTTGTTGTAGTTTCATGCTTGGTGACTGCCGCGGTGATGTTAGGACTGATTGCGGTCATCATCGTCGATGTATTCTTCGTTCACGTCGTTTATCGAACATTCCACTTCTTCGCCTATCAAAAGGACAAAACAAGAAGACGACAAGGCGATCAGACATCTACGACCGACCTATGAAGAAGAAGTTCCAACATACTTATACACATGGAATCATATGATCCTTGCATTGTTTAGCTAAATTTATTCCCAAGTACTTATAAGATCTCCTTTTGAAACTCTGACCATTGGCAATTTGCTGCCTTGGTGTATCTCTTTTAAGATCGGGTTACTATGCATCGCGTACAATCTTCGTACATTTATTTATTATGTATATGATTCAAAGAACACATTGTTAACAAAGCTCGAATAAATAATGGTCAATTTACGACTTGCCAAGGAAAGCCAGGTTTGTCTTGATGATAGGGTCGCATTCCTTGTTCAACCATAAATCCATATCCAGCTCCTGAAAAATAAAATTTCTCAAGCACTTAAGCGAACTAGTCAAGACGGGAACATATCGAATTTAACACAGTAGACATCCATTAAATAAGGACAAACTTCTTGCTTTCCGCGAACATACTGACGTTCATTTTTCAGTCAACAGATGATTTCATGTTCTAGGCTACAAAAAAAAATGACGAGAAAATCCCTATGGTTTGCTGCCTCAGCGTGAACGAAGAGTTCAGATCCGTGCTCCTCGAACGATTGGAACTAGATAAGCACTTTTCACAAATGAATAAAATCACTGCCACGACGATGCTGAGATATTCGCAAAATTTCGACGCTAGGCCAGATCGAACCACGACGACCCTTTCAAAGGCTCGCGTATTACACACTGCACCAAGCAGGCTCTTGTTTTGCGTGTTTCTTAGCTAGTTTTCTACCTATCGCTGCCATCGGCAATCATCCGTCAGCGGGATTGATCTGGGGAGCACAAATCGGCATTGAACCCAGTTAATTGGGCCCGGGGTCAAAGTTTTGCCAATATCTCAGCATCGCTGTAACTGTATCTCACATCATACCCTGCGGTGAAAAATTGTAGTAGACAGTAAATAAAAAAGGTTAACATTGTGATTTAGACTTTAATAAGAGTTCATAAATGTCTCTAAGAATAAATTATGTTAAAGCCCATTGATGAAGGAACATTTTGTCAAAGTGGAGATACTCTGAAGAAGTCTCCGCATTGATATATCGTCCTATCGAAACGAAAACATGTCCTCAAGGGTCAAAACTCAGTGTAAAGTTCAATAAAGATAGGATGGGAAACGAGAAATAAGTTCTAGCCGTGAAATGAATCCCTCCAAAAAACAGCCTTTTCCACCTTACTAAGCGTAGAAAACACGTTCTTATGGGCAATGCCTGATAAAACATTTACGGTGGATCGAAAGAATAGAAAAAGTGCAGCAAAAACGCTCTATGAGGGAAAATAAATTGTTGACAAGAAAATGCACTCAGATCAATGCAGTTCGTCCACGTTATTCTCTACAAATGTCCTGAAATCACCACATCTCGGATATAATGTGTTCAACTTTACACATTATCTCTTATAGTTCACATGACTATGTTGCTCAGGCCTCATTAGCGTGAAACATCAGAATATTAGATAAATTTGAATGAAGATTCCAAGCTCGCCATCTAACTAGCAAAGAGAAAATTCCGGATAACTTATGGCAGTGTTAACGGGAAAACAATGCAGCGATTTCCTGGATAAATAGCCTGACGTCTGGAATAGCCAGTCTAAGCATTTGCACCGAAACTACCATTGCCCCTTATGTTCCGATGTGGGTGGCGTTTTCGTGAAGGAAACTTTTCTTTCAGAGTATCGTGGAGCAAGACACAAAAGCACCTAATATCCCAATATCACCATATATGCCCTATGAAAATGTAGAACTAAATGCATGGAATATGAAAAGGATAAGGCGCTACTCTATTATGGAGCTGTTGTCATAAAAAAAGCCTTACCTCCGCAATTTTGTTGAACATTTCAAGCAGAACTTCAATGTAACGTTGCTTCGCTTCGTCTTGATGCAGTCCTTCCAAAGCCTTCCAGGAATTCCTAAGTTAGCGTGAATAATTAAGAAGATATAAATGTAAAGGCCCATTTTAGAATTCTGCAAAGTGTAAGTACTACCTATAGTAACACTCACCATTTCTTTCTCTCGACAATGCTGAATATCCCTGGCATTTCTGTGTTCACATCGCCGATCGTTGCCTGTTTGTACAGTGAATAGAATTGAAGTTTCTGATCGTTTGATGTACTCACTGGTCCTTCAAAATTAGACGTGCTGTCTTATTTTTATTTAAGAAATGACAAACTTAATACCTTCTTTTGGCAGTTTTTGAATTATTGTAACGGCTGCGTCAAATCGATCATCGAGAGACATCCTTGACACAAATCAATTGAGGACAGCGTCCCTAAAACGTTATCAAGAAATGCTTAAATGATTACAACAACTACCATTACCGACCAATGTTAACAAACAGAGACACCTTAATTATGAGAAAAAATTCGTTATGCGATCAGAACAACTCGATCAGGTATAACAACAGAAAAAAGCTCTACTCGTTCACGACACATGAAGAACTTCATGCAACTTACGTTCCGAGAACAATTTAATTGAAATCGGATATAAAAGGCAAATTCAGTGATTGACTGGATGAAATACCAGGAACTAGACAAAATTTGGTAGACAGAGGAGAACCGAGGAATATCCTTTTAATTTTTATTTTTATATGACTCGTCTTCACGTCTGCTGTGCGGACCCCAGCACTTATCACATTCGTTTTGTTTCCTCCATTTGCATCCATTATCCACGAAGAGCTTCCAACTTTTTACGTGTGACTTCGGCTGTTGTTTGAGGATTTCATTTCATTTCCATCTTGAACGTCGTAGAATGCTGGTTGAGCAATTCTCCCTGGAGTCCTGGGATAGCCGGACTGGAGCATGCACCTATTTTCCGACCGCGGAGGGATGAGGGACTTAGCTGGCCCTGAGCGGAATCGAACTGGCACTGTGCTCATGTTGGCCGACATCACTACCACTGTGCTATCCGCCTCCTAACCAAGAGAATAGAATGATCCAGATCTACCACTCACCTGGCGGTAGGATGGCAGGCATGGTCGACTTCGCTTTCCACCGTTGAAAAACATTCCATGGTTACTAAACCGCTAGAAAATCAATGTGAATCACCTACCACAGGATAGGACAGAGCCGCATCGTACAGTTGCTTCACGGCAAATGAGTCCGAAGGATTAATTTAATTTTCTTAACAGTGTTAAGAAATGAACAAAGAGAAAACAGGAAATCTTTAGAAAGAGATTTGTAAATAGTGACAGAAATGTCTAGAAAAAGAAACCCTTAACACATCGTGACGCAACCTAGTGCTAGACTGTACATTTTGACCTATCGCAACTTTCTCGCTGGAATCTTTTCTTACCACTTTTAAACAGACTTAGCAAAAAAAAAGAGAAGAAATATAGAAAGATAGACGTTTTCAATAGGTTAATCCACGAAACAATAGAAATGTGAACCACACAGATCTCATAGGGAGTGGAAGAATAGAGGAGAGCTGTAGCCAAGCCAACTTGATGATAGAATCAAAACGTGTTCTACCGTATCAAAGCCGACTTGTTAGACTTGTTACAATCCAGACAAGGAAAAGTATCTCCACTTCGAAATAACGTAACTGCAAGTACCTATGTACACAGTGGATTTGATCTAATGAACTTGGTTCTTAGTGTGTAATGGGCTGAAATGTAATGCACATGCCTTCAGCCTTATGAGAAAACATTCCGTTGGCATAGATGTTCTCTACAATACTGTCCCTAAACTATTGTTGCCAAATCCTACCACTAAAGATGGCAAGATGATAATACCATGCCAATTATTATTTAACGTAGACTTGTGTCATACAGCGGCTAGGGGCATGTAACACAGTGGTAATGGTGCTATTCATCGCCAGCACGGTGCTGATTTGACCCATTTCCAGGCTCACTGAGACACTCATCCCTCCGCGGTCGGGAAATTCGCTCCGGATTTGTCTGCGAAAAATCCACTCTGTGCAATTGAATTGGGAACACTCTAGTCCGGCTTTCTCAAGACTCAAGGGAGAATCGACACGACGAGCATTCAACGACAAAAATTATGAAATAAAAATCCTCAATCACCAACCGAAGCCACACGTAAAAAGTTGGTAGTTCTTCGTGGATGTTGGATGCCAAGAAACGAATCGAATGCGAGAAGTGCAGGGATCTGTACCGTAAATCTGAAGACGGGTCATGTAAAAAGAAAAGTACTTGAACCGTGACTGGCTACGAGTTCGAAAACAAACAATGGAATTTCCAATATAAAAGGTGCGTCGAATATGTAAGAGTGCACCAGTCATAGAGAGATTTTGTAAGAGAATAGATAAGAAAGCTTAAAAAATTTTGGCAACACCTACTAATGCCATCAACAGTTGTCACTGCAAACAAGTGAGACTAGGAATGCACCGTTTGCCGCTATTTGCTAGTAGCACCCTCTGCACCACTTAAAAGCCGCTCAGCTGAAGTAACCCTTGCATAATATTTCAGTGAAACTTAAAGAAGAGGATACTGTACGTCGAAAAAGGACGTCTTAAAAATAAAGCTAAACATCGATAACAGCACAGAGTTCTGTGAAACAGCTAGAGGAACAAACCAATATTGTAAAAGACAATCTTAAACCTGTCAACGAATTTTAAATTTTACGACAAAAAAATGTTACCAGAATAATGCAGATCCCGTATTAGGAAATTTTGGCAGCGAGAAAAGCGATGAGAAATTTTTGGAAAATCACTAAAAAAAATTTAGCCAGTTGAGTAGGTGTTCTCTTTGTAACAACATTGGAGAGATTATGGCATTTCCATCAGCTTTTGAGTCTATGATGAACTGTTGATATCATTAACAAAGACAGAAAACCATTAGTGTAGACAGCTGAGGTGAGGCCATTGGGAGGATTCTGACAAGCTGCGAAGGTAATCCACATTAATGAGTGGCCTGAACCGACTTTTACGAAATTTAGCAGCAAGACTTCAGAAAATGGCCGGCCCTCAGAACGACTCATCTTTGATAACGTCGCGTGGTTTGATCGATCACTGACGGTTTTGATAAGAATCGTAAACCGTGATCGATTGGTATGCTGAAAGCACTGCTCTACGCACCAAGAAACATTCTGCATGTAGATGATTTTCATTCTATTAAATATCTTCCAGAAACCACAATAGCAGGTTTCGAACAAGTCATTCCATCTTGACCAGCAAAACAAAGCAAACCCCTGTATACTCTGTGCCATTGTGTCACTCCGTGTAAACTCTATCATTGGATAATGGTAAGGCAGTCTTCTTCACAAACACTATACATAGAAATGTTTCAAAATAATATCGAAGTACAAATATGGAGGACGCATAGAGAGGTAAAATGGATGGGTAAATAAAAACATAGAAAACCGAATTAGAGGGCTAAAACCCCGAAGGAAGTACAAGGATGTGCTCCGTATACTAGTCGTATGGGCGTGCAATAGGAAACCGTCTTCAAGCGATGCGCCGACTTCCGAATACTATGCATCGCCCCAGGTAACATTGATAACTTCGGAACACAAAATGAGGTCACATAGGAGTAGATCGCTTTCGTCAACGACATGCTGATTGATTTGTTCTCGAGAAAGTCTTGCCTGAAACAGTCATAGTAGAGACAATGCTCAAGATTCGTAGTGGTCACAACATAAAAGCGCACTTACTGAAAGCAATTAAATGATACAGAATCGCGATGACTCGTCACTAGGCTGAGTAATCACTTTGCTGCTGCGCCTCACGAATCCATTCTTCATCTCATTTTTATAATATTTTTATAGACGATAAAGCTCTCGACGTTGATTAATTCCTGAGGGATGCACAATGCATTCGACTTTGCATGTCTGGCCTTTACAATGATTCACAGAAGTGGCCCACCGATGTACCGAGCCAGTGATGCTACCCCCAAGACAAGTCTGGTGCCAATTTGCCGACTCTGGACGACGGAGATGGAAGGCTTGGTGAGTTTGGTGCTAGATTCGATCTCATGTGTATTGCAGGGCGCCTTCGACCACTGCTCCACAAGCGCCCCTCAACGTCTTAAAATGTATTGTAAAATGAACGAATTTTAGTGGGAGTACGGTGCGAAAACTTATGCGAAACGAAACTGTTTGTAGTTTCATGCTTGGTGACTACCGTGATGTTCGGCCTGATTGCGGTCATCGACGTCGATGTATGCTTCATTCACGTCGTCTATCGAACATATCCACTTCTTCGCTATCAAAAGGATAAAACAAGAAGACAAAGAGATTAGACATCTACGACCGACCTTTGAAGAAGAAGAAGATCCAAAATACTTTTTCATATGGAATCTGATCATTGCGTTGCTTAGTTAACGCTATTCCTGAGTGGGGCGCGTGAGGCGCAGTGGTCGACGGCGCCTTGCAACACATACATGGGATCGATCACCGCGCCCGTGGCCGATGAAGCATTCCGTCCCTCCGGGGTCGACAAATTGGTACCAGACTTATCTGAGAGGGTAGCAGCCTCGTTACATCGGTAGGCCACCGCAAGTCATTGTAAAGACCAGATACGCATTCATTCACCTCTAAACGATATTTAGTGAAGTCGAATGCATGGCACATACCTCAGGGATTGATAAACGCCGAAAGTTTTATCGTTTTATCCTTTCTTCCCGAGTACTCATAAAATTCATGCATTTAGTAGAACATCTTTGACCACTGCGCTACACCCGCCCGCAGTTCAGAAGCTTAGCAACCTTATAATAACTGAATATAATATGAAATTTTCAGCAGATAATGATAACTTTTCAGTTGCACTATGTCTTACATTCAGTTAGAGAAATCCGAGAGAATGGAAACCAGCATTGTAGATGGTGTAATCAGCTACAAACACAGCGCGTGAGTAAAGCGCCTCATTGAGTTCGTCAATCGATCGCTCGTCTCCAAATCGATCCGGCCATCGATTGCCGTCCAGACACGTCTCAGCATATGCGTCGCAGTGCATCGATCCTCGGGAATGTTCCTGAATCAGGTAGTGCTAGAAACGCTGATAAGTCTCAACGGTCGTGTTCATGGTCTGTTCCTTCCTTACTAGCTTGCATAACTTCGATATCTCGTCCTTTAAACAGGAATTGTGCTGAATGTTAGAATTCCAATCGGAACCGCTTCCCTAGTTGTACGTAGGAACTGGCTCTACTAAGGTATAAGATTTGAAAGTGAGGATACTTTATGTTTAACGTCGAATCTTAAGTTCGTTAGCGAATGCCACGCCTCCTGATGCATGTTAGTACGTGTGGTCTTCGAGAGTGGACAATAAACTATCTATTTTGGATATGTTGCTGTATATTAGCGGCTATAAAGGTAACAAATGGCATAAAAGAGCCTACTTATCGCTTTTGCTGGAAAGTCAGCTGACTTTATAAGCCACGAAGATGCTTCAATCTCTCAAGTTGTTCTAAATGAAGCCTCGCTTCTTCCCTATTCATTTTCATAGTGCTCCTACAAAGTACTTCTAGTTAGATGTTGGGTATGGACTTAGTACCATCACACATTCTTCCTTGCGTTCATGTGAACATCCAAGTGCCATCCTTGGACAAAAATCTCCCTTCATATCGGCTCATCGGTCCGCTTTTTTTTACTTTATTTCCTTAAGCTGAAGTAGTCAAACTTGTTATTGCCGTTTGAGGTGGTTGTTTCTGAGTTAGTGCAATACTGGCTTCAAATCCGAGACTAAATCGGGAAAAGTTGCGACCCACGACGATGCCAATAGCGATCGAGCGCGCGCCGTGTGCCGTTCGTCCGGACGGCTTACTCGGTGGCACCGGGCACGCATGCTTCCACAATCGCTCTTCCGAATGCCTGTTCTGGGTCATCTCATCCTTTTCATGTCTTCTCACTTTCATTCCCTTTTTCCTCTTCTCCTGTGTGATTCTTTCGACATTGTCTACTGTTTTACTCTATTCTTCTTCGATTAATGCAGTGCTTTTATCAGGTCGTTTTTGGTCTACTTATAGTAGTTCAGGTTTTCATCTATTTATTTTTCTTTGGCCACGACTAAGCTATATACATCATCAAGCTTGTTTAGTTCTTTATAGGCGGTTGTTTCTGTCGAAGAACGCGATGTTCCGCAGTACCCATCCGCTTCTCAATAACGTCTTCAAGGTGATGTTCTACTCAGTTCTCTTCGGTACTAATAAACAATGTTCCACTTTTCATTCATAGGCAGCTTCGGCTTCAGCACGGACCCTGATGCTTCAAGAACACCATGGCATAGCTATCCTCCAGAAAGAAAACATCAGAGTGAGTTCTTCATCATTTTAGCGCTTTGAAGATGTGAATACTATAACGTTTCTCGACAGTGTCGCTTTCAACTCTTAAGAAAGATGGAAACATATTTGAACACTATAGAACGTACACTGTTTATCTTATGGTTTTTTGGTTCTTGTAGCCGTCCATCTATATGATTGATTGAGAATGAATGTTTTACGTCTAAGGTGCCACCATTCGGAGTCGCAAAAACTGCTGAGGAAGCCAAAGAGCAAGCTCAAAAAATCGGTACACGTTCATTTTGTTTACAAAAGCAGGATCGCTAATTTCTTAATTTACTTGTTCTCCTTCTACATTTAGCATGGTTTGTCATTTCAGGCGGTAAAGACTATGTCATCAAGGCGCAAGTCTTGGCTGGTGGTCGGGGAAAGGGACGCTTTGATTCTGGTCTTCAGGGTGGAGTGCAAGTCGTTTTTACGTAAGTTCTGCATTGATTTACGTGGTTTCATAAGTCTAAGCCAAAAATCTCCACATTTAGACCGGATGAAGCTATGGAAAAGGCGAGAATGATGATCGGAGCCAAGCTCATCACCAAGCAGACGGATCATCGTGGCAAACTGTGTGAGGAGGTGAGACATCTTCTATTTTGATGTGTTATATCTGAGCACTTGTGGCGCAGTGGTCGAAGGTGCCCTGCAATACACATGCGATCGCTTCCTGCGCTCCTGGCCCACCAAGCCTTCTATCTCTCCGGGGTCGGCAAACTGGTACCGAACTTGGGAGGATAGCAGCTCTGGCTCGATACATCGGTTGGCCACCACGAGTTATTGTGAAGGCCAGATATGCACTATGTCACTTCCAAACGATGCTTAATGAAGTCGAATGCATGGCGCATCCCTAGGGGATTGATCAACGCCGAGAACTCTGTCTTTTTATGACAGAGCACTGTCTTAGCCTATCATTTTTTTTGCACTTTATTTGTGCAGTTAGGGTTTTACAGCTTTGAACGGAATGTGACAGTCTTACCATTTCCTTTCGTTTTTATAGGTGATGGTGTGTAAACGACTCTTTACCCGCCGTGAGTACTACTTGTCTATAACACTTGACAGGAACACAAATGTAAGTGGAGAGGTCTTCATTACAGTTCTTTCGAACTCCTTAAAGAGTTTTACGTTGATATATTTATTTATGTGATCTTATAAACTGATCTTCTTAAGCTGACGCGAGGTTGGTATAGATCTTCGTTTTCCCGCACGTAACATCACGGCTCTGAGGAAGGTGAAGTCGCCGAAACGTCAGCCACCGATCAACAACTTCAAAAACAAGGACAACGACAACGAAGATCTGTACCAACCTTGCGTCAGCTTAAGAAGATCAGTTTATAAGATCACATAAATAAATATATCAACTATCTATGCCGAGGTTTATAGAAAGTCGGTCTTTCGAGTTTTACGTTGGTTTCATCCGTTTCTGCTCGATTTTACATAATGTTCTGAAGCTGGCGTGATCTGCAAATTTGTTTCTTGCAAAGTCTTGTTAATAAAATTTTGAAGGCATTCATAATTGATACTTTTTATGTAGTTTAATTTTCCAAGTTAATAAGTCGTTTTTTTCTCGAGTTTAGGGCACATATACTTTTTAGCTGATGATTTTGCGTTTAAAGAAGTTATGGCGTCACTATTTACTTTTCAGATCAACGCCGTGAAACTTCCAATCTTTTATTTCCTTAAGCTGTACAATTAATATTACAGGGGCCTATTCTGATAGCATCATCAAAAGGTGGCGTTAACATCGAGGAAGTAGCAGCTACTGACCCTGAAGCGATCGTGAAGGTTCCAATTGATATGTGTGTTGGTGTGAGTGCTGAAATTGCTGCTGATGTAGCTGAGAAGATGGGTTTCCAGGTAAGGATGTTTCCCACCGTATGCTGTTATATGACCTTTGAATTTCGTAAGGAATTCTTAAGGAATGTGGGCATTTCCTCTAATGGTTGTGTTTCTTATCTCCATTTTGAATTTATCACCCATAGTTCCGCTTTGTTTTTCTGTTGTCTTGAAGAATTCTTTTTCTCTAGGGTACTTGTGCAGAGCAAGCAGCTGACATAATAATGAAGTTATATAAGCTTTTTCGCAAAACAGATGCCACACTTCTGGAAATTAACCCATTGGCGGAAGACGTTAATGGTGACGGTAAGGGTAGCGTGTCACTTGGTTCTCATATCGGATTATTGCAAAAGGACTTCACTAGCTTTTTTGTTTTTTATATTTAAGTGTACTGCATGGATTGCAAGATGCTGCTTGATACTAATGCAGAGTTTCGTCAAAGGGAACTATTTGCTCTCAAAGACAACAAGCAAGAAGATCCTCTAGAAGTAAGCGGAAATCTTTTGCTTTTGCTTGTGTATTTTTCATTTTGTTAGCCATATTATATCCTACCAGTTATTGTGAGCTGAAACACATTATTTGGATTTCTCATGATTGGTTTCAATCGTAAAATTTTGGTTTTGTTGTGCCATAGGAGGATATTTCCATCCAGAAGAGAGTTTTTTTCCTGTGTTTCTGTCGGGAATCGAGGGGCTAGAAAACGCTATTGTGATTCAAGAGGATGTTTTCTTTCTACATATTCACTAATATGGTAGTTTTTCAATAGTTGTCTGTTATAATTCTATAAACATAGTCCTTGAGGAACTAAACGTGACGACTTGCAAAAAAGGGTTATAATTTTAGGGTTATTTATGGTTTCTACAAAGTGGTGTTCTCATTCTGGATTCGTTTTAACTTCAGGATTTTGAATTCTTTCAATATACTAGCAGCCGCCAACGTAAACAGTGCAGTTGGGTACCATTCCCAACCTATTACTTGTTGTACGAAATTCTGTTTGTTCAGTTGCTACGCTGTTTGAGATATGAAATTTTTTGAAAAACACTTCAAAGAAGACATCTAGGCTCTGATGTTTTTGATTTTAATCTAAGTTCTCTATATGCTGGGATATATCAGTTTGGAGCTGAACAGGCTGGGTTCGTTGGCCTCATCACTTGTATCTGTATCACCTGTAGTCCTGTTGATCGTCCAGTGACTCGAGCGGCCGCCAGTAAATCTTTCATTTTTCCGTGTCGCATGCAAGAGTAGCCCATTGGGTTCTGCTCCCTCTAGGATCTCGTCGAACATCATATCTTTCTTCTAGGCTTTTCGTGAAGAAGCCTGACCATCGCGTTGGTGGTCTTCCAGCAGTGCGTTTAACATCCTGATGAATCCAGCCACTAACGGCTCTTGCCCTTCGGTTGTCATTCACACGCATTACGTGTCCGGCCCGCCTTATCGTCGACTATTTGGCGTACAGAACGGCATCTTTGATTTTTGATTGTTGACGCAGGTCGGAGCTTCGGATCCTTTCCCATACTTGTGTGAAACGGGGTACTCCTAGCATCGTCCTTTCGACTGCGCGTTCAATAACGCTGAGTGGTCTTTCATACTGCTTACGCAGCGACCAGGTTTCTGACGCATACGTTAGGGCAGGAAGTATCATTGTGGAATGGTGATATCTTGGTTGTGAAATTTTTGTGCAACTGACGAAGAATCTTTGTGTACTGAGTAGGGGCTCCTTGACTACCAAGGGTTTCCATGATTGCTTCTTTCTCGGTTGAGTCAAAGGTCTTCTTTAAATAGGTAAAAGTGAGACAGAGCCGTCTTTGGTACTCTTGAGATATTTCAATGGGTCTTGTTATAGTGTAGATGTGGTCCATCGTTCTGAATCTTTTTCGAAACCGTGCTTACTCACATGGATCTCCTTCGTCCAGTGTTCTTTCAATCCAGTGAGTGACAAGTTTGTGGACGACAGACAGCAGGCAGATTGGGCGACAGTTGTTGAGGTCACCCTTGTTGAACAATAACACGGTCTTGCTGGTCTTCCACTGAGTGGGGACCTTGCATTCAGACAGCTAACGTGTGAACAGCCGAGCTAATGTGTTTACGAAGCCTGGCGGAAGGTTCTTCAGGTGTTCCGGTCTTATCCTGTTCGGATCTGGTGCTCTTCGATTTTTCACCGATGAAATGGTATGTCGGATTTCGGAATGGAGAACCGGTGGTACAACATATCCATCCTCCTTTATTTCATAAGAATGAAGGTGAACGTGGCTATCGGAGAGATCTGAGTAGTATTCATAAATGATTTTCTCCATTGCCTTTCTGGACGCTGTAACTGTTCCTTCTGGGTGCCGGAGAGTCGGGTGTTCTTTGTTCTCTTCACTACATCCTCGATGCTCTTGAAAACTCCCCATGTCTCTCGTTTGCTTCTGCTCAACTCTGGAGCTCAGTCGTTCATCATGTTGATTTCTCTACCTAGATAAACGGAACTGGATCATTCGGAAGCATTCATTCCGTTGAGCGTGAGTGGGGCATGCGTAACCAATCCGTTCCTTATGAAAATCGTTTTTGTGAGATCTAGTTGTTAACCAATTCTTCCAAAGGCTTCATCGAAGTCAGCAAGTGTTCGTTCCGCTTGGTTAATGTTTGTTGTTATAAGAACGATGTCATCAGCAAAGCCAAGATGTTGCAATTGGCAACCATCGAGTTTCAATCCCATGTTGTCCCACTCCAATATTCGCATAACGTTCTAGAGCGTGGCGGTAAATAATTTTGGCGAGATGTTATCGCCCTGCTTAACCTATCTTTTGACGTCGATGTTAATACCATTGTAGAATGGCCATATCTTAGTTGTGAAATTTTTATATAGCTCAGGAAGAGTCTTTCCATACTGAGTAGGGGCCCCTTGATTGTCCAGAGCTTCCATGATTGTTTCTTAAATCCACGAAAGTAAGACGAAGCGGTATTCCGTACTGTCGCCATACTTCGATGAGTCTTGTTATCGGGTGGATATGATCCATTGTACCGAATCCTTTTGGAAACTCAGCTTGCTCACATAGTTGTCCTTCATCCAATGTTTTATCAGGCCTGATTAGCATGAATCGAGTGAAAAGTTTGTACTCGAAATACAGCAAACTAATTGGACGATAGTTATGAAAATCATGGAGGTCACCCTTCTGGAGCAATGGCACTGTCCTGCTGTTCTTTAACTGAATGGGAACCTCGAAATTCAGACAGGTAACTGTGAAAAACCGAGCAAGTGTGCCTACGAGGACTGGCGGAAGGTTTTTTAGGTGTTCAGATCTTATCCTGTCCGAACCTGGTGTTGTTCGATTTTTCACCGATGAAATGTCGGATTTTGGAATGGAGAACCGTTGGTATAACATATCCATCCTCCTTTATTTCATATGAATGAAGGTGGACGTGGCTATCGAAGAGATCCGAGTAGTATTCGTGAATGATTTTCTCCATTGCGTTTCTGGGCGCTGTAACTGTTCCGTCTGGGTGCCGGAGAGCATTCATTTTGGTCTTGTAATTGGTGAAGCCTTGGTGAGCTTTGCGAATGCTCTTATCAGCTTCTGCAGCTTCGGCCATTACTGCTACTCTTCGCTCTCTAAGATCTTGTTTTATCGCCGGTCTGCATTGTTTTGCAAGCTCGGGCGTTAGTTCGCGGTTGCCTACAGCTTGTGCAATTCCGCGCTGGCGTATCAGCTCGAGCGTTTCTGGAGACAGACATCTCTTGGTGAGTTTGGAGCTCTCAGCTTTCATAGCTCTAACGTGAAGATGTTGAATGAGCCGATTGTATTCTTCGTCGATATTATCGACAACGGCTTTTTCCCGGCAGCCGACTGATGAATTGAATAAGTCCCAGTTTATGGTGGTTCTGGGACTGCGGTTTTTGAATGTGGCGGCTTTTCCTCCTGTCCGCGGGAAATGGAATTTTGAACGAAAGAGACGATGGTCTGATCCCGTGCAGAATTTTGGGACAACAGCTACACTGGTAAGGAAAAACCTTCTATTTACTCTGATGTCGTTTATTTCGTTATGGTACTGTCTACAGGGAGACCCCTACTTCCAGCTTTGAGGGTGGGACTTCTGGAATTGCGAGTTATCATGGATGGTTTTGTCGTCATGATAAACTCAGACAGCCGTTTTCTCTGTTCATTCCATTCTAATCCGTAGGTCCTAATGTGGTGTTCTTCAGACGTTTTTCTTGGTCCAATCTTGGCGTTAAAATCTCCAATTTTGGATAACCTTGAAGAATGTATGGTCTTCTCTGTAGAGCTTCTCCAAGACCACATAGGACGCTTCGACTTCTTCTTCGTCATAGTTTGATGTCAGCGCATAAACGACGAAGATTGTCAAAGCCGGTGTTAATCTACATCTTTTTAATCGTAAACGTCTGATTCGGTTTGTTAGCTGCTGGAATGAATCGATGTTCAGGACGAAATTCGGGTCGACGAAAGCGCCGACGCAGTCGGCTCCTGTAATATCGCACTTTTCGATAAAGTTCTTCTGTAGTGACATAGACGGTGTTGAATGGGTGGCGTCGTTTGATGTCAGCCAGTCCAATGAATTCGTACATTATCTTTCTTTCTTGTATGATCAAGCCTTCTATGTGCCGCTTAGTTTTAAATGTGCGTGTATTGTAGGCATAGATCGTCATCTTAGTCCTTTGCGATTTTGGAAGTGTTGAATGACTATGAGATTTTAGCAGCCTCTCTCCACTCCAACGCTGCCGAACTAGGGGCTCTTTCGGGGTCAGGGGTATTATTTCCGTTCTTTTCACTGTGTTTAGCATTTTTTGATCCACGTAGCCTCACAACTAACCTGTTATTAGGATCCCTCATATGAGTGAGATCCGTGACGTTGTTGATAAGAATTCAAGTTAATGAATGTTGATTGGGAGTATTTTTTAGAGTTAAACTTAAGTAATTATTAACCATTAAGATCCGTGCCGCTGCTGCTAATTTGAATTACATCCGTCTTGATGGTAATATCGGTTGTATGGGTGTGTTTAAGCTTCTTGGTTGTTTATTCGTGTGATTTTGACTCTTTTTGAGCAGGATTTTGTTTCAGTCAATGGTGCTGGCCTTGCTATGGCTACGATGGACATAATTAAGCTTCACGGAGGGGAACCAGCGAATTTCCTCGATGTCGGTGGAGGAGCCACTGTGGAACAGGTCACTGAAGCGTTTAAAATCATCACTGCTGACGAGAAAAAGGTGCAGTACAGGTTGCTATGAAATAAATTTATATTATCTCTTTCCTGTTGTAAGGTCCCAGTTCAGAATTTCTATGAAAACGATTGCTGTTTCTAGTTTATAATTAGTTTGTATCCTATTCTATTTACTTGGATACTTGGACGGCCCGTCCTCATTAGTTGTGCGGGCTCCAGCATATTCTCCATTTTCGGAGTTTTGCTGGTTTAGCCCTTGTGCTTCCCTGGAGTCCCGAGATTAGCCTGACCAAAGGTTGCCCTAGGTCGTCACCATCACCGGCAGTCGTCACCCACATCCGACTCCTCCAGCTTGGGACACCCTAGCGATGGATGGAGCCGCTGCTGTACATCGCAGCCCGACACCCAAGAACACCTCCCACATTCACGATCAAGCAATAAGCCATTGAGAGGTGTATCGTGTCTCTCGTGTGTAATTCCATTCTACTGCCTTGTAGCGTATCAAAAGTAGGAAGTAATGATTATCTTAGAGAAATTCCAACTTTAGGTGAACGCTATTCTAGTCAATATTTTTGGTGGCATTATGCGTTGTGATGTTATTGCGCAAGGTATTATAAAGGCGGCTAAGGAATTAAATCTTAAGATTCCGATCGTCGTTCGCCTTCAAGGTTGGTTAATATTGTTACTTTATTTCCTGTTCTAATTTCAGTTACACTCATAATGGTGCACGTTTGGAGCTCAAATATGTTTTTCGAGCTTTCTTATTCCCAGGTACAAAAGTAGAAGATGCGAAAGCCCTTATAGCTACGTCACAGCTGAGAATTCTTCCATGCGATAATTTAGATGAGGTACGAAGTTGCTCGTGTACCAATCGAACTTTCTTAAGAATCCAAGCCGTGCTTTTCCACATTTTGTTTTTATTTTATTAAATAAGGCGATAATCGCTGTTCATTTGGTCGTAAATTCAGGCTGCGAAAATGGTGGTGAAATTGTCCGACATTGTTCACTTGGCCCGTGCTGCACAGATCGATGTCAAATTCGAATTGTCCATATAAAATGTCATATGATTAACATTTATGCATTGAGAGTCTTTTTAATTTTATATTGATAGAAATGTTTGGTTGGTTTATAAATTGTGGATCTGTTCGTATCTTTGTAACAGAGCCGCTTCTACTAACCAAGGAGTGGATTTGACGTGAGTACAACTTAGGTCAAGAATATCAATTCCTTTTTATGTTTAAGGAATTTCAGGGAGCATGAGCAATGTGGATGTTGATGTCAGTTAGGCTTAGTATTACCTTGTTTTAGATGATTTGTACGATAGTATTCCGGTCACACAATTTCTTACTGGTCAATGTATCGTTTTTTAATAAACTGTAACAATTTCTTGTCTTCGGAAGTTTTGAATGCCATAAAGAAGGCAGCTGAAGGGGAGGCTTTCTTCTTAAAGTGTCTTGTTCTCTGGTTTCAAACTATGTCGTACCTTCTCAATGCAATCCAACCGTTATTGAATTTAATCCCGCTGATCGTCTAGTAGGTACGCGTGCAGCGCAGTGGTCGGAAGCGCCCTGCAGTACACATTGGATCGATTGTCGCACTCCAGGCTCACCAAGCCCTCCATTCCTCCGGACTCGGCAAGTTGGTACCAGACTTGTATGGGGTATAGCAGCACTGGCTCGATACATCGCTACGCCACCACAAGTCATTGTAAAGGCCAGATATGCATTCAATCAGCTTGAACGATACTTAGTGAAGTCGAATGCATGGTGCATCTCTCAGGGATTGATCAACTCGGCAGTTTTATCCTTTTATCCTTCAACCGTCCAGTAAGTACACCGGATACCAATGAAGTGTCCATTGGTGGAGCTCACGCGCCAAAGGTCCTTACTGGAAAGAAGGGATTCTTTAGCGTAGGAAACGCTATTGAGTAATGGACGACAAATGTAATTTTACACGCAACAAAACTATCCGACCATATGGTTAGAGGAAAGGAAACCGTTTCAGTGTTAGATCGTTGAGCGTTTGCAGGATTATTGACATATAGTTTATATTAGCGTCAATTGTATCATTGGTGAAGTCAGTTAATCGTCAAGCATCTCGAGTTGGTAATGGCAGTATCCATTCGTTGCGGTCGGGACTCATTTCTGCCTAGTGTGCTTTGCTATTAATTTGATGTTATTAGCACAGTAATGTTTTCTTCATCGGTCAGTGGTCAATGGTCTGCTCTTGGTTTACAACTTTTTCTTTGGCATATAGTAGTATGGATAATGATTGATCTAATGATATTCCCTTAATAACACAAAAGACCGATTTTCTATAAACATCGGCATAAATAATCAATATGTTTGCTTATATGTTCTTATGAACTGATCTTGTTGAACTGATGCCAGGTTGGTATAAGTTCTTGTTGTCGATGTTGTTGTCGTTGTTGTTGTTGTTGTTGGCCCATGGCTGACGTCTCGGTGATTTCGGAGTGGGACTCTCTTTGAGTTCTGAACAGCTCAACAAGACCAGTTAATATGGCTGTTTCTTCCACACTTATTGTAATGAAGAAATTGCAAAATTGAACGGGCTCAAATCTTGCCTTTTGTTTTACTGAACTGTCGACATGTCGTAGATTTACTGATAAGCAGCAACAAACACTATCAGAGCAAAGTGTGCCAACAAAAAGCTGGCAATCAGCTAGCCATCGAAGCAGTGTTGTTGCTTACACTTCTTTTGTAACTGTGCAAAAAGAGACGGGTTTCACGGATTGGTAGTTTAGTCTTTTCACTAGGACCCAGTGCTCTACAGTAGTGAATTCTTTGTATGATGTGGTGGGACCTACAAAGTCGAAATTCGGTTTCGTTTCACCAGACCACGAGCGGTATATTGCTATTCTGGAAACGGCTTTTGTGATTACCTTGTTGTCTGGTGTGTTCTATCTCAAAACCTTCGATTATTTTCCCATACTGACCACTTACGGTATTCATAATTAACTGATTCGCTTTCATTATGTGGTGTCGACATCTTGTGGAGCGTAAAGAAGAAACAGTGTGTGAGAACACTTTTGTTTCTTCCTGACTCAAATAGGAATGGTTGGGTGTTATATCTTTGTTTCGAGAATACTTTACGGGAATTCCAGTTTTCAACAGATGTTTAATGTAACCATTCAAATCTCCAGTGACTGGACTACAGGGTCACTTCGCACTTCTTTTAAATGGTCGTTGTAATGTTTATTTCTATGGTCTTACGAACTCCCCTTATTGAGTTGATCGGAGTTCATAAGAACACATAGACCGGTGTATCGATTATTTATGCCAAGATGTATAGAAAGTCAGTCTTTCGAGTTATTGTAGTAGTAGCTTCTCTGATAATAGAGATAGATATATAGTCAAACGAGACTGTTGTGATAGATTTTCTCTATCTTCTCTGATAGAGAAAATCTATCACAACAGTCTCGTTTGACTATAGCTATACCTTGAATAAGTTTTTCAGTCGTTTTCTTTTACAACCTTCGGATCAAACACCATCGGTTGCAGGTAGATTTTCTTCTTTTCAAGTATTTCTTATGACTAGAATCTACGAAATCCTCTGTCCTAATGCTACCTGTCATTAGTACCCTTCTTTTATTCTGATCTTTCTCCAATTTGCAATGAGTTGACAAGTATTAACGTTGTATAGTAATGGTGTTTTTTACTATTTCGTGTAGTACACTTTAGGATACACTTCGTGCGTTTCGTAGATTCTGCGTCCTTCAGTTGCTCTTCTCAAAATTGTTACCTATTCAGTGACATCTGGAGACAGTTGGTTTTCAACACATGATAGTCATTACAGGATGTTTGCTATCCGAACAGGCCTGAATTCTGCATTTGGACTTTCCCAGCACGCACTTGTTATCGTTGGGCAGAACAAACTTATCAAGAACTTTCCGTTCGGAGGCGATCTTGAAGCGAAGTTTGCTGGTGAAATTGGTGAGCTGGTTGCATACTATCTGCAATGTTTTCAAGTGTTATGCTTTTCTTTCTTGAACAGATGCGAGGAAGTGGAACGAGGCAATGAAAGTGCTTCCTGTATCGGGAAGTCTTCCCTTGGTGTTCAATCAGTCTAGGATCATTTCTGTGCCAGATAGTGCTTCCAGGCATAACACTCCATCTAACTGTCACATTATTAGCAGAGAACTCAAGACATTACCTTTCTATAAGGGAGGTTTCAGTGTACTTAAGTGAGGTCTTCTAAACTGACATATATACTTTCAGGCACTCAACATTGTGTTGATCTGTAATGCTGATAACGTTCTTGCGAATATTGCTGCAATTGCACGTTCGTTTCCGTTGTATTTTCGTAAAACTGGGCAGTCACCAGTGAATGTTATCGTGGAAATCTGCCTAGCGGATCGTGAGGTGAGTCTATAATCAAGTTTTAGAATGATATTCCCATTTGGGAACTTTTAAAAAATAGTTTGCGTATATAACTAGTTACCTTATATTGAGTAGGTGAGTTCGGAAGCTTGTTACAAAATAAGGTGTAATCATGGAAAATTGCAAAGTTTTAATTGGCAGTAACTAATTGTCATTGTCAGTTTTTCTGTGATACATGATAAGTTTGATCATCAAGTTGACACAGAAGAAGGAAGGGAAAATGTCTCTTACAGCTATCATGTGCTTCTTTAGCATATTCGCCGCCGTTTGCATTGAATTCTATGCATTTCCATTCTAATGACTTGTTTTTCCGGGTGTAGCTTTTTCGCTGTGCTTTTTGTTTTCAATTGATAGCTTATCTAACAAAAATATTATGCCAGTCGGGTTTCGAGGAGGGCTTTATTCTAAATATAATAATTTGCGAAAAAAACGGCTAATCGTACGAGTTTGTTTGGCGAGAGGATGTTGCTGGTGAGTGGAGTACCCACGACAGAGAACGTCGTCGGTAATGAGAACGCAGAGGTGTCTTCTCTGTTGTACTTGAACATTGCAAGTCAATAGGTACGGAGATAATTTTGCTGCGATGAGATGTAAATCATTGAGGAGGTTTCTTCAGAGTGGCCTAATGTTCACAGAGTGCGCGTTCATCAGTGTGCCTTAACATGCTTTATTTTTAAAAGTATTTACCAGCTCAGAGCGCTTGTGGCGCAGTGGCTAGAGGCGCCCTGGAAGCACATGAGATCGATCTACGTGCCCATGGCTCACCAAGCTTCCCGGAATGGGCAGATTCGTACCAGACTTTTTTGGAAGGATAGCAGCACTAGCTCGATACATCGGTAAACCACCACAAGTCATTGTAAAGGCCAGATGCGCATTCAGTCACCTCCAACGAGGTTTTATTTACCATATCTCTTGTTATAAATTGTCGAATCTGTGGTTATTGGAATGTTGCCGCGTTGTCGAAAAGAACCAACATGGTGTACTATGTCTTGATAGCGATGTATTTGATTGGCTGTACTGTTTCCACAAAAGACATTGGACTAGGCCTTACCATGAATGGGTTAATATTAGGCGCTAGAATAAGAACACTCAAGGCTAATTTATTGCAATATGTGGAAGCAAGGAGCTAAGTGAAAAGTGGGAATGCTTATAAAATTTGCTGAGACGTAATTCTTTTGCATTAGACACGTTAGTTCAGAGGTAGAAGGTGGATATTTCTGGATCTCGGACTACGGAGACCTAGAACGTGGTAAGCTTTGTCCTAGGGAAATAGTAGTGCTCATTGAGAGCTGATGTAACATATTTCTTCGTTATCATCTTCTATGTGCCAAGATGTTTAAAAATGAAAGCTTTTGAAACTAGGAGGAAGTCAAACCATAACGGGACAAAATGGTATTTATGCTCTAGCGTTATCGGTAAACCTATGCTTTACAATATTGCTGACCAAGAGAATGGCCTTCACAGGTGAAAATCGCCTATTGTGTCGATCGGTGCTAGTAGAACAGTCCATTATAGCAAATTCATTTTCTATGGTTTTTTTGGTACTGACTTTCATTTCCTTTTGCCACTCTCTCCGAATGGAGTGGGCCATAACTATCGTCCCGGTGAAAAGGCAGAATTCATGTCTAATGTTAAGGATATCTAAGGAAGGCAAGGTCGACCACATTAATTATGGGCCATTTTTATACGTATAAGCAATTTCCTGCTATAAAATCATAATGGCAACTTTATGCTTTTACCATATCTCATGTTTTCTTGTAGAACAATGTTTATTCTGTCAAATCAGTTATTCCGTGCTTTCAGTGCTTATGTAACAGTGGTGTTTTTCCTATCGTAAATGAGGTTTTTGATGGCTTTTGCTTAAGAATTGGTAACGGAGCTCTGGTTTCTTTCAACCAAGCGCATTACGTTTTTCTTGGATATCCTGTAAACTTGATGGCTGATAACTTTGTAGATCTGTAGATGTTTTAATGCCCCTGCATAGCTGTTAATGAAGCTGGCTGAAGGGAATAGTTATGGTATACGTTGACTTCTTCCTTGATTTATGGCTGAGATCTGTAAAACAAACAACTGCGGTAATACTAGGGATATCTCCACTAACATACTCCTTTTTAATGAAATGCAAGTGATTTCAAAAATTTGTGATGTGGGAACTCACTTTTTTTTTAAGACAATATTTATGAAAATCATCGAAATAGAAAACCCCGAGTTATAGAATTTATGAAATGTCTGAGATTTGGATGTGAAAGCTTCCGTATTTTCTTTTACAAGTTTTTTTTTCAGTTAACTGATGACGATATCAGTTACCTCATTAATCTTGCATGCTGGATTCGAGAGGTATGTCGTCTGGTGGACGCACCCCCGAATGAGTTGACAACGGACGCATTTCTTTTGAAAGCTTTGTGTGTGGCCGAGCAGTTGGGAGTGAAACAGACTGTAATATCGGCAAGTTTGGTCAATCTTGTCTGAAATCTTGTGTAAATTGCCCTAATGATGAAGCTATATTTCGGTTCTAGAATAGAGTTTGCTAGCCCCATTTTCCTAATATTGAATGCCAGTTACCCGATAGAATAGATTGTTGTGTTTTCATCTCTAGGGAGAAGATCTGAAGCGTCAAAACTTTGGGGGCATATATAATGTTGGAAAAGCTGGTTCCTCACCACCTGCATTTGCTGTACTTAGTTATGAACCGGAGGATGCAAAAGAGACATATTGCCTAGTTGGCAAAGGTGTTGTGTTTGACACCGGTGGAATGCAGATCAAAGGCAAAACGGGAATGCCAGGTTAGTTGGATGTTTCTGTACTTCATTGAAAATGGTTTTTGTTCTTTTTTCATGGTTTTTATCAAACATTTTAATCGAAAGTGCAAAATCGATGTAAGTGTCCTATAAATCCTGTGTTTTGATTACATTCGATTTACTCAATTTAGAATTAATCCAATAACAAGTCTACACTTGTAATCTAACTGTTTGAATTCTAACCTAAAATGAATTGTTTCTGATAGCGCTGTTTTCTCAGAGTGGACCGTTATGAGAACTGACACCACAGACTTGATCTTTTTATTTACTGCCTACTATAATTTTTAACAGCAGGGTATTATGTGAAATACAGCTGAGATGTTGCTGAGATATTATATTTCACATGAGTTTCACATTTCACTGTAGTTTTGACACCACAGTGTTTAAGTTCAGATTCATTTTAAGCTTTGCGTTATCAAACGACTTTAAGAGTGGGTAACCCTAGATAATCCGAATACACTGAATAGCTCATAACGATGAAGAAACGTAATGCTCACAGCAAAATTCCGATTTGATCGATATTGGTCAAGAATTTTTCTCCTTGCCCCACGAAGTCTGCTTCAGGGCGTTCTTACTTCATCGCCATAGATAATCGCTGACTTATATGAGTCAAAATGAGGTTTATCGGTTTTTAACAGGATCATTTCTTTTACAGCGGGGATTATTTGGCTTCTGGAATAACTTTAATGCTTCTGAAATAATTCTTCGTATTTTTGTTGAGCAAACACGAGGTGTTATTATTCTTTATTCACGAGTAAGCTGACGTTTCGGCGGACTCTCGAGGCATTCTGGATTAACTCCAGAAATCCGAAAATGAACCGCAGGGAAGAATGCCTCATTATCACGCGTGATATAGGGCAGTATATAAGACTGCTATTCTGATGGGAGGGGCACATTATGCTTCCATGTGATTTCTGTGCGGTTGGTCTCTACGTGACATACTTAGTGGAAACCTCATAGAAAGCGGTCAGTGTGCAAAGCTGTGTTCATTGTGATTGAAATCTTGGTTTAGAGTTTCTCTGTTCGGTTATGGAGGCGTCTGGCCGAGTAAATTGCTATCAACTTGACCTTTCCAGGCTCTGAGGAAGGCGAAATCCGCCGAAACGTCAGCTTATTCGTGAATAAAGAATAATAACACCTCGCGTTTGCTCAACAAAAATACGAAGAATTATTTGATCAATGCCGAGGTTAATAGAAAGTCGGTCGTGGGAGCTTCTGAAATATTTCTAATAGGTTTCTGTAGTTTCTCTAAATGTAGTATGTTTTTACAAATTTGTACGTTTTAGCAGAGCTGGAAGTAAACCAGCGGCTTTCTCAGCTCGAAATTTGGATGAAAGTCATAATGTATTGTGTATATGTATATTTTTGGTTTGTGTTTTCTTATTATTTTCGGCATGAAGCGGGATATGGGTGGAGCGGCTGCAGTGTTGGGAGCGTTCTACCTTCTCGTGAGTGCCAAATTCCGACACAACTTGCACGCTTGCTTGTGCATTGTGGAGAACAACATTTCTCCGAAAGCAAAGTTTGTTTAATAGAGTTTTTAAATATAGTTGCGGGCACACGTCGTTCTAGGTTATCTGTGACGTATTTCAGTAAGCCTGATGATATTATCACAATGCTTAGTGGAAAGACGGTGGAAATCAACAACACTGACGCAGAAGGTCGTTTGATTTTGGCTGATGGTGTCTATTATGCTAAAAACACTCTCAAGGTTAGTTTTACAAGTAGCTGGTTTCTGCAGCAATTTTTTGCATACATCATTGTTTCTTCTGTTTTGGCTTTCTGAATGCACTGCAGTAGATCGCCAATGAACGACCTTAAACGCTAATGTGGAGGTTACTAAACTGTTTTTCATGGATATATTTAGTGATAGATTCTATCAATCCATCTGTGAAATTTGATCCTTTTGGGAATCATATATGATTTTATGCTTCGTTTGAAGTCCCGAGATCAGTTTTCTCATTTATATCCTAATTCTTCCCGCTTTATTTTCGTAACCCAATGGTATGTCCAATGAAGAAGCTAGAGCTTTTCTTGTTATTTATGGACTTTCAAAAGTTGAATGTTTGAATCTGGATTGAATTTAGTTGATTAGCACATTTGATATACATTGGTTTAAAACACATCTGCGATCGAAAGCAATTTAGTGTTTTACTTCTAATCGAATGTATTACAGTTCAAAGTGGACTTTTTAACTGGAACGGAAACTATTAGCAAAGCCATTGGGACTACAAGTCTTTGCCAATAGAATGCACGTCTTATAATTCTATCACAATGAAATCTTGCTTTTCTCGGATCCATCAAATTCTTTTTTCCTTTTCTTTTCGTCGAGGTTCATAGTTGGAGCTGTCGAATTACTGAGCAATTAGAGCTCTATCCAGCAAACACGGTCTTGTTCAAGAATGCATTGTTACTGCTGACGGCTGCTGCACTTACGTTAAAAATTTTGAAGCCTCTTATTGTTGCAATTTTCTGCAAATTATTGTTTGGAACACTGGTGACGACGTCGAGTTTTTGTGGAAACCTGCGTAGTTCTCACTAACTAGTGTAATTGAGGTGTTTAGGGTTTTTTAGGAGAAGCTTTGCTCTATCGTCCTAATTCTATAACGAATTCCTAATACCACTCATTTTTAGGTTTTGTTCTGATTTTTTTTCCACAAAATTAGAAAGTAAGGAAGTGGAATCTTAACTTTTGGTTTTTTAGACACAAATTCGGTTGCTAAATTCCTTAACCGTTTTATGGGTCTTGCGGTTGTAGGATGACGAGAGTTCAGTATTATTGGTAAAGATCTGAAGTTTAAAATGGTTTTTATTCCATTTAATAAAGTTCACTGCCAGTCACGATATGTTTATACAAATTCGAAGGGCTCAATCATTTTTTGTTTTGCCTAAGTCTTACTAAAAGTCTTGTATTGTTCACTAAATAGAAAAAGAATAAAGCTCTCGACATTGATCAACCTTTGAAGGATGCGCTATGAATTCGACTTCATTAAGCGGCGTTGGAGGTGATTGAATGTATATCTGGCTTATACAGTGACTCGCAGCGGCCTACCGATGTATGGAGCCAGTGCTGTTATCCTTCTAGACAGATCTGGTACCAATTTGCACACCTCGAAGGGATGGAAGGCTTGGTGAATCAGGGTGCGGGAGCGATCCCATGTATGCAGGGCGCTTGTGGCCACTGCTCTACAAGGGGCCCATATATTGCTTATACTGGCATCAATCTATTCTGCAGGAACGTCAAGTACTCAATTCGCTCAAGTATTCTAGTTAGAAAAAACTTCGGGTTTATCAAGAAGCCAACGTCGTTATGGATGTAATGAATGAAAATAACGTTAATTACTGTTTGTTCTACAGGCTGATGTGATTATCGATATGGCAACTTTAACCGGTACTCAGTTGTATCTTTCTGGCAAGCTACATGGTGCGCTTCTCACAAACTGCCGAGAATGGGAGGAGAAAGTAAAACTTCAGATATATTTTCTCCAGAGTTATTTATTTTAAGGTGAACTAATTCAGGCATGCGAGGCCGGTCGGCGTTCCGGCGATTTGGTCGCACCAATGGTCTTTTGCCCTGATCTCCACTTCTCGGACCTCAAAAGTCCTGTCGCAGATATGCGCAACAGCAACCTCGTCAAAACGGAGGTGAGAGAATACATCCAGTCGATGAGCAGTTTTTACTTTTTTTTCGTTTGAGATCCGTTTCATATGCCGATGGAATTCTGGTCTGTGTAAATAGTCCTCACTTTAGGGTCCACCATCTGCTCTAGCAGGGCTGTTCATCGGCTCCCACATCGAATTCGGTGAGGGGCTGAAGTGGCTGCACTTCGATATTGCCTCAGCAGCAGAGAGCGGTGATCGTGGCACCGGATACGGTCTGGCTCTGCTATCCTACCTACTCGGGCATCTCACGAGGATTCCTATGCTTCAGCACTAGAACCTGTACTGAAAGTATTTGGACAATATTTGTGTAGTCTTCCAATGTTGGTTAACAGGTGAATAGAAGAATACAATACGAACCATCTTATACAAAACGGGAGAAGTTCTATGTTTATTGTTCTTTTATTTTGTGTCATTTGAAGACAATGTTTATTTGACGGATCTGATCGTTCTATAACGATATTTGGTTGCCTATATAGCCGCAGACTTCATGTTTTGAGTATCTTTTATTAGGTATCACTACCTCTGGTTCCTTTTTCAGATTTGGTTGGAATTGAAGTAAATTTTGTTCTATGAACTTTTCCAACATAATTGTTAGGAACAGCCTTTCGCAGGCAAAAGGTGGACAAATAATTTTATGGTTGGAAAGGCGACGTGTTTTCATATTATGTACAGATCAGTTAAAATCACTGGGTAGTGTATGGGAACCATTTTCTCATTAGTTAATATTTTATTGCTAATCCATTGCCACTATTATTTACTGTACTGTCGGTCGTTTCATCGCACTAGTCGTACATATCGTTTCGTTGATTGCTTATACCATTCTCTAGCTAACGAATTTCATGCTTCACTTACTTGATACTTAAACGGCCAGTCCTCACTAGTGTGGGCCCCAGCATACTCACCACTTTTCGGAGATTTGCTGGTTAAGCCATTGTGGTTCCCTGGAATCCCGAGGGCAGCCTGGCCAAAGTCTGCCCCAGGTTATCACCACGACAGGTAGGCGCGACCCTTGTGAATGAGAGGAAGATTTGCCACCATTCGACTTTGATACCTGGACGGCAGCGGATCCTGGTATTAGTTTACTCTTAGCTAGACTTCCTGATGAAAACGCCGGACTCCTCGGCTTGGGGGACTGCCGGAGGGGTACGAATCCCTCCGCCGTACATCGCAGTCCGACACCCAGGAACGCCTCCCAGCCACGATGAGGCAGACTTCATGCTTTTCATTTTTTAATTCCTCTCAATATAATGTTGAGGCTGTGATTGAAATAAGTTGATAGTCAAAGAATTTCAGTTGAATGTGAGATCCACAGAGTTTCCTTTGGAGCTGTTTTCTCAACTTTCGATAGGAGAGGTTCAGTAAGTTGGATACAAAAGAGCCGTACAAGCTGAGCTGTTCGCACGAGCAGGAAGGATTTTTATTTTCCTTGCCTTGAAATTCTATTAGGTATTTCACTACTGCACGAACACAAGAGCCCACAACAAAAAGTTCTGTTGTGCATTTCTTAAAAGATGTTCCCATTGTGTGTTAAGTAGACGGTTTTTGTGTACTGTTATCGTTCTGCATCTGAAACAAAACTTTCACGCTTTGGTGACACATCTTCGTGACCTGTGCAGAGTCCATTCCAGTTTCTTATCTTCTCGTTATCACTTAATCACAGTTTTCAATTGGAAGCTGGAAACGAAGTGAAAATTGCACTAAAGTCATGGTAATATTCGATATATAACGGTTGTCCCCTGATTTTGCTTGGATGATGCATGGGATGAAATAAAAAGGATAGAGTTCTCGGCGTTGATCAATCCCTCAAGGATGCACCATGCATTCGACTTAATTAATCATCGTTGGAGGTGATTAAATGCATATCTGACCTTTACGATGATTCGCGGTGGCCCACCGGTGTATCACACTAGCGCTGTCATCCTCCCAGATGAGTCTGGTACCAATTTGCCCACCTCGGATGGATGGGAGGCTTGGTGAGCCATGGGAGCAGGGATCGATTCTACGTGTGTGTTCCATGGCACCTCCAACCGCGGCGCCATACTCGACACATAGGATGACCCTTAATTTCATGTTGCCTACACAAACACTACAAGTAGACCTGGTTGAAACAGCGAATAAGAATAATTGCGGTTTTTCGAAACTATATAATGATTTTTCGACAGTTAGAGGACTAGTGGAGTTGAGGATTTCACAGAGCTTTGGAGGAGGGTTCGTTTCATCACTTTGGAGACGTATATGTTGCTACTTATGTGAGTAAAAGAACTTAGGGAAAGACAATAAAGAACGTTAAGGGAAGATTTTGAAGGAAAAAAAGCAGCAGTTATGATCGAAGCCGGAGAGGCTGGAAAAAGCATTCATGAAGCCCATTGAACCTTCGTCAATTACAAAACTAAGGTGATTGAACTCCGACAATCAGACGGAACAGTTACAGCGCCCAGAAAGGCAATGGAGAAAATCATTCACGAATACTACTCGGATCTCTTCGATAGCCACGTCCACCTTCATTCATATGAAATAAAGGAGGATGGATATGTTGCACCAACGGTTCTCCATTCCAAAATCCGACATTTCATCGGTGAAAAATCGAACAACACCAGGTTCGGACAGGATAAGATCTGAACACCTAAAAAACCTTCCGCCAGTCCTCGTAGGCACACTTGCTCGGCTTTTCACAGTTACCTGTCTGAATTTCGAGGTTCCCATTCAGTTAAAGAACAGCAGGACAGTGCCATTGCTCCAGAAGGGTGACCTCCATGATTTTCATAACTATCGTCCAATTAGTTTGCTGTATTTCGAGTACAAACTTTTCACTCGATTCATGCTAATCAGGCCTGACAAAACATTGGATGAAGGACAACTATGTGAGCAAGCTGAGTTTCCAAAAGGATTCGGTACAATGGATCATATCCACCCGATAACAAGACTCATCGAAGTATGGCGACAGTACGGAATACCGCTTCGTCTTACTTTCGTGGGTTTAAGAAACAATCATGGAAGCTCTGGACAATCAAGGGGTCCCTACTCAGTATGGAAAGACTCTTCCTGAGCTATATAAAAATTTCACAACCAAAATATGGCCATTCTACATTGGTATTAACATCGACGTCAAAGGATAGGTTAAGCAGGGCGATAACATCTCGCCAAAATTATTTACCGCCACCCTCTAGAACGTTATGCGAATATTGGAGTGGGACAACATGGGATTGAAACTCGATGGTTGCTAATTGTAACATCTTGGCTTTGCTGATGACATCGTTCTTATAACAACAAACATTAACCAAGCGGAACGAACACTTGCTGACTTCGATAAAGCCTTCGGAAAAATTAGTTATCAACTAGTTCTCACAAAAACGATTTTCATAAGGAACGGATTGGTTACGCATGCCCCATTCACGCTCAACGGAACGAATGTTTCCGAATGATCCAGTTCCGTTTATCTAGGTAGAGAAATCAACATGATGAACGACTGAGCTCCAGAGTTGAGCAGAAGCAAACGAGAGGCATGGGAGTTTTCAAGAGCATCGAGGATGTAGTGAAGAGAACAAAGAACACCCGACTCTGTACCCACCTTTTCGACTCAACGGTGCTTCCTGCCCTAACGTGTGCGTCAGAAACCTGGTCGCTGCGTAAGCATGATGAATAAGCACTCAGCGTTATTAAACGAGCAGTCGAAAGGACGATGATGGGAGTATCCTGTGTAACACAAGTAAGGGAAGGGATCTAAAACTCGGACCTGCTTGAACGATCAAAAATCAAAGATACCGTTCTGCACGCCAAACAGTCAAAGGTAAGGTGGAGCCGCCACGTAATGCGTATGAACGACAACCAGTGAACAAAAGTCTTTAGTGACGGGAGCTCCCAGGATGTCAAACGTACTGCAGGAACACTTTTCCGATGATCAGGGTTCTTCACGAAAAGCCTAGAAGAATGGTATGATGAGCCGCGAGTCCCTAGAGCAGGTAGAACCGAATGGGCTATTCTTGCACGCGAGAGGAAAAATTGGAAGGTTTGCTGGCGCCCGTACCAGTCACCCGACAACCTAAGGGACGATAGGTGATGGCGGTGATCTATCTGCGGCAGTGCAAGTACAAGGTTACTTTTTGTGGGCTTTCAAACTTTTGTTCACCACATGGGGACGAAAACCGTTAATATTTACGAACGTAGTTCCTATCTGATTAATATATTCCACCATATAACGTTAGCTCGAAGAATTTGTTCCTTAATCAATACAAGTATATCCACCTGTGTATAATGACTAACCAGCAGAGCGTTAAACAAAGGATCAAAGTGACGGCTGTCGTCAGAAACGCGGCCGTTAGCCTAATGACTAAATTCACAATTTTTGTCATGATCAAGCTAGTTAAAAATTTGATGGAATTAAAGAGAAAATTTCTTCTATCGCCAAAGGTCTGCATGCTACTCTTCGCTTTATTTTATTATCTAGAAATCATTTGTCATTTTTGAGGAACTGAAGTTTTTCCCGCTTCACGTTACCACTGAAAAACAACGCTGGTGGTCCCATCGAAAGTGACAATAAATAAAAGCACGAGACGCAGAGTAGTGGAACTTCCTGTGCTCGGGCGAAGGTGAATCAAAGAAATAGGACGGAAGGTGTGATAGTGTCAGCAGGTAGTCTTCTGGAAATGTGTTTCCTAGGAGCTACTAGATCCTTGATGGCAGTCAGTTCGATTTGGATCGAAAATTACTGCGTCAGGGCACAGAACCTACGCATTCTATGGGTTATTTATGGCCGAAATTTGGAACTCGATTATGGTAGAGGAGCAGCTGTAGAGTGCACGGATGTGCGTAGAGAAAATGTAGGTAGAAGATGGAAAAAACTTATTGGTATCCGAAGATGAGATTTGCTAGTGCACCAAAATTAAGGGATCATTGGAGATCTAGTATTCTTGGACGGCGTCATATTGCCAACTATTTACAAGAGACAGGTTTGAAGGTCTTTGGCAAACCTCAATATTTTAGCCAAACTAATATATGGGCAACAGGAAATGTGTGTGTTAATGAAGCTTTTATGCTGTTTAAAGGAATAATCGCATTTTGCCAACAAATACCACGTAAGACCTGATACTCCCTAGCCGTTCATGGAGAAAACAATATTACTAGGCCATATCATGGAGGTCGTTAGTACCATGTTAGAAAGCATTGTCAATCCCTCATCATTGTAAATGCACTCTAAAACCTGATTAACATATTAGCACTATCTCCTGCGGTTATAGGAAACACTGTCGTTTAGAATGTTGAAGGTGCATCAAACAAGGTGCAATTTTACTAAAAAGTTCAGTTTTGAATTAAATGTTTGCATATATGCAAGAAATGCAAGTTTTATATGAAATTTGTTGATTACACACTCTCCTCCACAGCAATTGCTTCTCGTCTCAAAATGAACTCTTCCGAAAAAGGTTTTTGGTAAGTAATTAAAAGCACCTTCTAAATTCTTGCCTCCCCCCATCATGGGTGAGAGGTGCTTTGGGTGTCAAATTGAATGCACAGTGGTTGACGTTTTATCCTCCCATGTAAGTCTCACAAGCTGTGGTCTCCGTCGTATCCATTAGTAAGGTTTTTTGTGAGCATAAAACTGAATTCCGTCGTAATTGCGATAATATCGCGATAATTTATGACTTTTGGGTGTAATTTACACTATGAACAGATCGAAATCAAACTCAAGTCTCGGTTGCACATAGTCTCTCGAGCCGACTTGGGCTTGTGAGACCATGCGCATCCCTCACTTTATGCGAGTCAATCACGTCTTCGTCGCTATTTGATATCATGGCTTAATGTAGCACAAATTTAGCAGCACGTTCAGCATTTGAAAGGGCACGACCAATGACATGCGAAAGCTTTATGACTGAAGACCACTCTTAGCTTTGAGAAAAGTGCTAGATATCCATAATTGCTTTCCATGACCCAGATGTACCACATAATAACGAAATTTAAGGGTAATAAATTTTTTCGAAGTGTGCTTGGATTTATGCAATGTTCTTCTAGTAAGGGTGGCAATTTCGAGCATTGCAAAGCTGTTACCGAGTATATTTTAAGCAGGAACGTCAGTTTCGTCATTGACGTGGAAAATTTTGTTTTCTGCGAATGCAGAACCGCCTTATAGACAGCAGCCCTCCACCTGATCGCTACTATCTGACGCCCTCTCCAGCATTGTGCACTGGCTATAACGTGATCGATAAGACTTTGCCGACGTTCGTTTATTGAAGGTTGAAAACTGCTCCGCAATTGCACGTGATCGCCCAGGAAGTATAGGTGCGACACGCAGGTTTTGAACGACCCAAGTGGCCAACAGTAGAGAGAAGAGTGGAAGGAGTCATCTTGTAGTTGTATAAACGATGGACAAAAACTTAAATGCCGGTCGTTTACAACGAACAAAAAGTCGGTGATAACGAATGGACTAAGTAAACTTAGAGAAACATGCTCATAAAGCAAGAGGAAACCGGTTGTAAAAGAAGACGAAAATTTTCTCCGTTAAGAAAAGACACGAAAACAACACTAAAGAAGCTGACATGTGGTTTTTTTCGTTTAAAATTGTTTCTTTCTCAATATTTCATTTCATGCTATGGGTTCAAATCATCGCCTTGTCTCTAGGAGAGGGAGATAGATATCATGGAAAGAAAACTTATATTGACCATTTTTTATAAGTGATAGAGAGAGTATACCAACGCTCACGATCAGCAAGAATATGACAATATTTCTATACCACTAGGAAGTTTTTCAACGATGGTTATTTTAAAAAGACTGGAAAATAATCTCATTGCTGGATATTCCAAAAGTAGAAGAGCGACAGCATTTATGGACGATCCAGGCTTGGCGTTTTTTCAATGGGGTTTGACTTCTATATCGTACCTGGGCGATGGGTCCATTTCTCATTTACATCTCATTTTAATCTCTGCTTTAATATCGTACCCGAATTAACTGGTGGAGTGACTAATCGAATAAATCGCCACCGAAAATTATGTCGTTCAGATTCACATCGTGAGGAAGACCTTTAGAAATCCCAAATCAAGAAACCAGGGAAAACAAATTGCCTAATCAGTAGGAGACCATTCTCAGTGCGCCGCACAACGAGCACCCGTGTATAAGGTTAGGCAGTGAGATGACCGGTGATAGGCGAATTAATCTCGCGTTGGGCAGGAAATCACAAGAACCGAACGTAATGAACGTACCATTATGCCTGTTTCTTGCTCTGAACCTATAATACCGGATCACTCTCATCAGATGCCAACCTTTGCGCTCTTGTTTAAGCTTCTGATCGCATTAAATTCCATTTGATCGCCTTGAGAGAGATGAAAAGCAGGAAGACCGATGCAGCCATAAGCTTGAAAGGATTTCCTGTCAGCTTCCAAGCGAAGCAAAACATTCGTGTATAAAGAGGGTCACCTGTTTTCCTCTCTTCCCGTTGGTCGTCGATTTACTCGAGAGGGCGCCAACAAACCTTCCATTTTTCCCTCTGTAACGTGCAAAAATAGTCCAGTAGCTTTTGCCCCCTCTAGGAACTCGTCGAGAATTACATCTTCCTTCTAGTGTTTTCGTGAGGATGTCTGACCATCTAATCGGTGACCCCACTGGTGTGCGTTTTACATCCTATGGAAAACGATCACTATTATCTGGTATACATCGGCTACCGTTAATGCTTATCGCGTTTTCGGGCAAATTGATTTTCGACATTTTAAAGGTTAAATGGCGTCTTCGACTTCTCATCGTTCCCATAGGTTGGAACCTTGCATTACCTTTTTTACTTGCACAATATGGGGCACTCTCTGCATCTTGCCTCTCCACTACACATTCAATAACGTTGAGTAATCTTTCATCCTACTTATTTAGCGACCACGTTCCTGACACCTTCGTTAAAGCAGAAACGTTCATGGAATCGAGAAAGTGGGCACGGAGTCCGATGTCCTTTTCACTCCTCCCTACACCGTCGATGCTCTTGAGTGCTCTCCAATGCCCTCGTTTCCTCCTGCTCAACAGTCGGACTAAGCCGTTCGGTGTGTTGATTTCCCTGCCTAGTTATAGGTTGCATGAGCCTTAAGAGACAATGACATTCATTCCGTTGAGCGCGAATGGGACATAAGAAGCCAATTCGTTTCTCATGAACATCATTTTTATGAGATTTAGTCTAAAACTAGTTCCTCAACAAGCGTCGTTATAGTCGGCTAGCATTCGCTCCGAATAGTTCATACTTTGTGATAGTAGAGTGATGTCAGTAGCAAAGCGAAGGAAGTATAATTGCTGAACAACTATCAATTTTCGCTCCCATGTTGTTCCATTCCAGTGTTCGCATGATCTGGGCGGCGCCAGCAAATAATTTTTACGAGATGGTGTCGCCTTGCCTAACCCATCTTTTGGCGTCGACGTTAATATCTTTATGTTCCTTTATTGTGAAACTTTTACGTACCCCGAGCAATCTTTATGTGCTAAGTAGGGACGCTTTGGCTGCCCAAGGCTTCGACAACTGCTTCTATCTCAACTGAATCGAAAGCTTATCCTAAAGCGATGAACCGAGACACAGCGGTCTTTTGTACTCTCGCGATACTTCAATGAGTCCTGTTACGGTGTGGACGTGGTCTATCGTACTAAATCCTTTTCGAAACCTTGCTTGCTTACATGGCTGTCCTTCGTCCAGTACTCTGACAATCCTGTTTAGGATGACTCGAGTGAAAAGTTTGTAGACGACAGACAGTAAGCAAATTGGCCGATAGTTGCCGATATTGTAAAAGTCATTTTTCTTGAACAATAGCATGGTCTTGCTGGCCTTCTACTGAGTATGGAGCTTGCAATCGGAAGTGCTCCATAAAGCGAGAAAAAAATTGGACTGTGCATGAATGGGATGAAGATCTAGTGCATGAAAGCCCGTGGTGAGAAGGCGAATAAATCGAACTTGATGGTTTCCAGATTACAGAGACCACCTCATATGTGACTTTAAGCCTTAGCACAAAAAACAACATTGAGAAAGAATTAAATAGAAAAAGAAGAGCATCTTGGGAGGCATTTGGGACACTCAATGAGCACGAACTCTAGCAACCCCAAAACTGCGCGCTCACGTCTTCAATTCAGTAGTCTTCGTAGCGCACAGTTATGCAACAAAAACGTGGCCTGATATTTCAGTAATAGAGCGCTTGAATGATGCCGTCTGAATTTTAACAGATATTCACAACGTCAAGCTGGAATGCGCGGCTCAGATCTTCGAAATCGTTTTCAGATTCTATGAGAATGAACATCGATAGCGAAACACAGATAGTCCGATCACAGATTGAGAAGAATAGCTCTCGAATAGACCAGAGGAACAGCGGAGTGGACTCCAACAGAATACGATCGCTGCTTTGGGAGACCACCTAAACAGTGAGCCGGTGTGTTGTGGCTAACGCCAACCATCTGTATTCAAAGTGGGAACGATTTCAGAACTATAGAATGCTGCTTGCGGACGTCACCACGTTTGAAACAGACCACGACCATAGACAACGATTTTCACGATATAGGGACGAATGGAAATTGTGCTGGGACACGCACTACCGGTAAAAACGAGTCATGAAAGTATCCAAGTGCCAAGGATGCCCTCTAACCCATCATAGGCCACACTTGGCATAAAATTTGTGTTGGCCTAGCTATTTGTTGCATTCAAAGTGGGCCTTAAAATGCTTTGCGTAGCGAAACAAACCATAGAAGAAGAAACGCATTGGGTGCAATGCATTTCGTCCACTTTTCCTACGCATCGATTTCAAGAGTTATTTAATAATGATGCGTAGTGATGTTTTTCTACCCTTGAAAGATATAATGCACATCGTGCTGATCACAAAGGAATGAGGTCAAGGTGGTTAAAAACAAGTGATGAACTTAAGAGAATTTTGAAGGAATCGTTGAACTCATGCAACTGCTCACTTTTCGTAATTTTTAGTGTGTATTGTGGCGTGGTACACATGCCATTGAAATCATTTCAGAAACTCAATATGAGCAAAGAATTTTGTTCTTCTTTGTGAAAAAACTGTTTAGAAACTAATAAACCGGTGTGTGATCTTACATGAGCACACATTTGCAGAACCTGGAGCTGAACTAATATTGGAGTCAAATCGGTACGGTAAAGTCTCTTGACATTCGTTGATAGGTGAATGTTTGCACATGTCAGTTTGTGGGAGACGATCAGTGCGCATTGTTGACGTTTCCACCGATTTCACAATACTTTCACTTTGATTCTAAAATCCGTTTCGACACCACACCTCATGATGGATGAGTTTCATAGGTACGGTGCTCAAATTTTCACTTTTTGGGATCACCGCTATTTCTCTAATGCTCTGATTTTTGTGTCCCACGCGAATTGGCTCTTATGCTCTTTAACAAAGAAAATAAGTTTCCATAATTGAACATGTCGAGAAATCAGAATGAAGAAGGATTTCTTCGGTTTTTCCACTGACTGTACTATCAAGTTTGTAGCACGCAGCTTTGGTTAAACTTTGTTTAACAGGGTATAATTTTAGCTTACCCCCTTATAATCGCCTAAATGAAATTCAGATAACACAAGCTTCGTTTGAGTCATCTTAAAACTCGTTGTCAAACGTGAAGTTCATATTTTTTAACCTAGAAGGTCCCAAGAATTTTAGAAAATCAGAGATCTTGGATTTGAGAAATTAAACCTGAAAAATGGGAAAATAAAGGTACTTTCAGCGTAGCGAACGAAGCAGCTCGTGATGATTCAAGTGTTTTGCTAATAATTGTACTCTGTGTACTATTTTGTTTCGCAATTCGCCACATGAATGACTTTTACGCTGGAGAAACTGTAGGTTTTCTTATGAGTGTCTCAGTAGTTTTCAACAAGCTCATTTCCTTAACTCTCAGTGTCCTCAACATCTGTGATTTGTAGGTGACTCTGGTTGAAGAAGGAATGTGGAGCGGACGATTCCGTCACAAAATCGAATATCGTATGCTGGCAAATATTGAAAATGATTTCAGTGATATGCACGAACAACTTAAAAACAAGGAAGAAGAGCAATTCCCAACAAGAAACGCTAGACAACATGGAGTTTGCCGTTCTGAAATGCCTTTGTGAGTCTGCATTGGAGAAATGAAGACTTTAGGTCATGTCCACTGTTAGATTTGTGCCCTGTTAACTAAGACACTTCGCAAGGGCCCATTTCATCGTGAGAAGATGTAAGCTGCTAAGTAAAGATATTGGATTTCAATCGACGTAATTGGTTTTCTTCGAATACAATAAACTTTTCCATCGAAAAATATGATTAATTCAAAAATAGGAGTGTTGTGATTTTGTGATAGGGAGATCATCAACTAACAATGTGGTTAATACTATTTGTAGAGGAAAATGAAAGATGTTTTTCAGGAATTATTGGAGGCTGTTAATGTATTGTAATGATGTGAGTTAAATGAAAAGCATTTAGATTATACACAATTCCATACTTGAACGACCAGTCTTCACAATGATGGTAAACCAATACAAAAGGCACCTCCATCCTGCCTATGCGGGGTCCAAGCTTCAGCGTGGTAAGTCAATCCTCTCAATGGCTTGCCTCCTCATCGTGACTAAAGGGCGTTACTGGTGTCTAAGTACGATGTACTGAGTGGGCAGGGCGCCCAGCTAAGAGTAAACCATTGCAATAATCACAGTGATCCTAGCAACAACAGAATCACATTAACAGAGAAGGTGTCACCATCGACCATCTACACTCCTATGTTGTGCCATTCTAAATAGTTTCGGCACGTTTCCGTTAATAGCCTCGAATAATTAATATTGCCTTTCTACGCGTCTTTCTTTATGTGGGCAGCAATGGTACTGTAAAATGGCAAATTGTCATTGTAAACTTACTGAATGACTCAAAAATAATTTTTGTGTACTTACCAGGAAAGCGCCTGTTGTCTAGAGCCTCGATGGCTGCTTCTCTCTCAGTTAAAAAAAGAATTTTTTATGTCGATGAAGATAAGAAAAGAGAGTTTTTTTATGCGATAATTCAGTAAGACCCATGACCGACTTTCTGTTAACCTCGGCATTAATTGATAATTCAATGTTTTTCATCAATAAGCAGACACGAGGTTGTTAATATAGAATTTATTAGAACACAATTGCTGACGTTTCGGCGGTTTCGCCTTCTTCAGAGCCTGGAAAGGTCAAATTGAGATGCGATCTACTCAGCCAAACACTTTCATAACCCTAGCAGATAAAACTTGATAAATCGATTTGTATTCGCATAAGAAACAGCTTCATTCAAACACCTACCGTTTATTTGTTGTAAGTATTTAAGTTAGTTGGTGGATAGCCGCCGCACAGAGTAATACATGGTCGATAACTGGGTCCATGTCAGATCATTGGATCAGCCTGAGGTATGGCGCTAGGTCACGCGTGATGACAAAACACTCCTCCTTGCGGTTCATTTTTGAATTTTTGGCATTGATCCAAAACGCTTCAAGAGTTTTTCGCGCTGATGTTTTCGATTCCTGCGTAAGGATAGTGACTCCTACCTCAAAATCTTCTCCGTTGTGTTCTTGCATCCTATGCGCGCCTAGTGGAGTATTGTGTTGTGAATTTGTCATACGTCGATTTTCATAATGACCTATTAGGATGAAGGATCGTTAGAGACGATCGAACGCATATCCGGCCGGTTACAGAGGTGGGATATCGATGTGTCAAATCGGGGTTTGTCTTCACAGACAAGTATAGTAGCAATTTGTCGACCCAGAAAGATGGAAAGCTTAGAAACACCTGAGGGTCGGATCTGTAGAGAACATTCTTTACGAACATTGCAATGTTCTGTATGTAAAACATTTCGAATACAGTTTCCGGTGACGATCCGACAACCTTATGTGTAACATTTCGTAGGCGGTTATCTCATGAAAAATATCTGCAGTTACAGTTCTATGCTCTGACTATCGCCTTATCAGATTGCAATGCTTGAGGAATGTTTCCAACACCCATTAGTGGCAAACCGTGTCTCCGCCCACTGTAGCCTGACTACGTCCATCACAAAAGGTATATAAACCGCTCCCCGGTTAGCTCGTTCAGTTCACAGCAATGCTGCTCAAGTCTTCATGTACTTTCCTCACATCCATCCCATGTAGTAGAATTCATATAAAAACCTCTTCACTCATAGGCGACCTGAAAACCAATGATCAGGCTGCGCTTCTTCATTACTTGTGCCATTGTCGTATTAATTGCACAGTTGGAATGTTATGCCATAATTGTCGTATTGGTAAACAGTTTAATTACCCAAGTTTGAGGTGTCCGGCATTGTGACTACTAGTCACAAAAAAGTCCCACGTGGCACAGACAAAGGCGAGCAGTTAATTCCGACCAAATCTTCTTAACTACCTGATATTCCCATATCAACAGGCCGTCCCAACAGGATCGAACTAAGTAGCACGTGTGTAATGCAGGTTACCTCTAGCTACTGCTCTAAACGCGCCTCCTAATGACATACTAGTACCACTTTTGTTCTACTTCCCGAGAAACATTACGTTTGATAAGATTATTTGAGGATTACATACGCAGAAACGAACATCCAAGGCTTCGGTGTTGCAGATGCTTTAGACGACGAATGTGACTCATGCAGTTTAAAGTTTATACTCCTTTCCATGCAAATAAAGAGATAGGCAAAAAAATAAAATAACGGCCAAGATGAGAATCCCTGATATGCTAGAATTACACCGAACATCTGATTGCCCGCGGATATGACAAAGATCCAGAAGCATTCTTGCTGACGCCACGTATCTTCTCACCGATTAGTGAAATAAAACTAACTTCAGCAATCCATGTGACCGTTGACTGACAGCAATCACTTTCCGAGCTCGCTTGGACGATTTTGTCCACCTTGTAGGAGCGCTCGTAGGCGGAGTCCTGCTCCAGTTTTTTTGTACTAGAATAGGGAAAAGTTTCAAAAAGAGCAGCGGTCTACTTTCAGATACTAAAGAATTTCGATTTTTACCACGGATTCCTTCCAAGAGAGGATTTGTCCTTTCTGCTGAAAGAAGTCGGTGACTACTTGCTTCGAGTCAGCGAGGTAACGACAGTTTACTAATAAGAAATCTGGGAATATCTTAGGAATTATTGGCTGTCAACATGATTGGGAATTTTTAAAAGTCCAATGCGAATCATTTCACAGTCTTCTTCTAGTGCGCATTCCATGGATAAAATATAAAAGGATAAAGCTTTCGACGTTGATCAATCCCTGAGGGATGCGCCACGCATTCAAGCTTTATCGAGCATCGATGGAGGTGATTGAATGCATATCTGGCCTTTATAATGACTTGCGCTGGCCTACCGACGTATTGAGTCGTGTTGCCATCATCCTAGACAAGTCTGGTACGAATTTGCCGACCCCGGACGGATGGAAGGCTTCGTGAGCCACGGGCGCGGGAATCGATCCCATGTGGGTGTCGCAGGGCACCTCCGACCATCACGTCACACGCGTCCCATCATTCTATGGATATGCATGGATTTTTACTTAGATAATATCTGAAGGAAAACATAGTCAGGTCATCGTGCTCTATTAATTCAGTAGAAAATTTTGTGCTTTTTTCTTCATTTCACAACGTTAGTCACCATCACTTGCCGTTTTCATCGTCTCAATGGGTCAGCCAAGGTCTCGATCAGTTGCGATCACGTCAAGTTCACCCAATGTTGAAAATTTGAAGCTTATCTGTAAGATTAGAAAGGATTCTTTGAACTCTTCAACATCTTCAAAGATCTCGCCGTAGGTTTTCAATATAACAGCGAATCATCCGATTGTCTTTACCGTTCCTACAAATTTGGTGAATCTTAGCAAGTGCAGAAAGATGTTTGTTCAATTTCGATCAAATGTCTGTGAGTCGTAAGTCTATGTAAGGTCCACAGAGGCTGTCGCAGTTGGTCGAACTCGAGGTCTACAGTCACACTAAGTAAAGTCTCGGCTGATCATTGCGAAAATGGCGATCATTTTTGATATTACTAATATTTGGGCTTCAATAGAACCTTCTCTAGATTCCTCTTGTGACTCTTCTTCCTTCACATCATTTATAACACGCCAATAAAAAATCTGCATAAAAACATGTGAGTATCAGACAAATGTCAATGACAGTTAAAGTGAGCTCTATCACTTTCTTCTCCATAGAAGCACTACTTGTTGAAGTGTTCCGTCTGTTAGTGACTTTTATACGCACGTGGTTCCGCCTGGAAAAATCTGCTACAGTTTTGCATGAAAGGACGCCTTTCCTCTGGCAAGAACTATTTCGAACCTTATCTGTCGTACCAAAGTACACTTGATCCACAAGGTCTTTGCTAGAGTGTCAGCTTAAACGAATGGAAGGATGCGATTTTCTATGACCATAAAACTAAACACATTTTGCCCGAATATCACTCGTTGATTGGGTCTCGCACCAACGATAACACAGACTGACCATTCTCATTGCTTGGCAACTTGATATTAGACTTGCTTAGACGATAGCAAGAACCGATTTGAAAAGTCAGTGCTCTACTGCTCGTCATTGTATAAGCTATATATGGATGCAATCACTCCTACGATGCTTAATGAAGTCGACTGCATGGCGAATCCCTTTGGAATTGATCAAGGTCGAATGCTTTATCATTCTATTTTTTAAAGCAGTATTTGCATTCACTGCTTGATCACAGCAATTATACTTCGTTCACTCTAATGCTTTAGTAATGGGTTAAAATTGTAGATAACACACTACCGCACCTAGCCGGCGGACCATCATGCTGCAGCATAACGATCTAGGAAACAAGTGTTATCTACAGTGCTACTCTACTATTTAGACTTGTATGATGCCTCATCAGCATTGCTTCCATTCAATCCATTGTCTTCTATCGTCCATAGAGCTGATTAGGTCCATAAGGAGTCCGCCACCGCTTGAGGATATGTTGCCTTCCTTCATTAATGACATAATAAATGGTGGTTGAGCGTAGTTTCCTCTGAAACCCAAAGATATTCGTGCTAAGGTATTCTCAGGTCTTCATTACACAAAGTTGCCACCACAGTTCATCACTTTTGTTTTGTGGTTTGTGGATTCTTCTATCGCTACAGCGATTTCTGTGGCGCCAATGATTCCTACAACTATTTGAGCATTGAACTGACGGGAATTCGACAAGAACGACCAAGTTCCTAGTACAGTCGTCTAGGCGCATTAGCGCAGTGGTCTGAGACGCTCTGCAACACACAAATCGGGGATGGATTCCTGGACCCATGGTCCACCAAACCTTCCATCCCTCTAAGGTCGGTAAATTGTTACCAGACTTGCCTGGGAGGATAGCAGCACTGGTTCGATATATCTGTAGGCCACTGTGAGTCATTGTTAAGGACAGATATGCATTCAATCGCCTCCAAACGATGCTTAATGAAGTCGAATGCATGGCACATCCCTCAGGGATTGATCAACGGCGAGAGCTTTACCCTTTATCCTTTACAGTCGTGTAAGAAAATTTTTACAATCAACTTCTTATCAAGTTCGATAATGAAAAATAAATTCACAATTCTCTGGAATCCCACTAAATGACTGACGATTTCGCTCACAGGTTGACAACGATTCAACGAAAATTCGACGAGACATCATACTATCGGTTTCTACGGAGCAGAAAACGGAAAAATCATCAACGATAAAATCGAACATGAGTGGCTGGAAAACGGTAAAGGTATGAATCCTCACAATGACGACGTCAGTTCGTGAATGCTTGTCTGGCCCGTCCCTCCATCGAATCGCATAGACTCCGCATGTTTGCCTTCTGGGTGATATGCTACTAATTCGGTATAGTGAAGAAAAAAAGACGCAAGTGCCGGTTTTTTATTTTTAGATAAAAAATTTGGTTATTCGGAAGAAAGGACGTCAGTACCTGATAGAATCCAGTCACGTTTTTCAATCTCTTCAAGAACTGGTGCAGTTTTACACGAAAAACATGGGACAACTCAATATGGTATGGAACACTAAACCTTTCCCAGATAATGTTTTGCTTGAAATGAGACTCGTTCTCCGATGTTTCCAGTTCACATTTATGCTAAAGAACCCAATTAAACGTCAATCATGGGAGTATCTTCATAGTGACGTTGAACAAGGCGAACTACTAGGAAAAGGCGCGTTTGGAGAAGTTCGTGCTGGCAAACTGCAATTAAAAACTGGAGAAACTATCGAAGTAGCAATCAAAGTTGTGAGTAGTCAACAAGCCATTCTCTTAGTTTTACTGTCCATTTCGTCAAAAAGAAATTGATTCAATGACGACGGTGATAAAGCGACGTAGTGTTCTCATACGAGTAACTGACGTGTTGGCGGCGACCAATACCTATGTATTCTATTGCCTCTTAGGGGGAGGGGTTTCCTTGCTAGGTGACAAATTTTGTACAGATCCTAAGTCTGCTGAACGGCAAGTAGTTTTCAGATCCACCCTTTTGGAGACTGGCCTAGACTATTCACAGGAATAGAACTAGTGGCGCCTGTGAGAAGAAATTCTTCATTTCATCCTGTAATCCAGAACTGCAGAGCTGAAAATGAATTGAACGATTTAACCGTGTAGTTGTTGGTGCTGTGGTTAATCAAAACGTTTTATGGTTGAGATTCACGTAAAATACAGTCCAGGACAAAGTGTTTTAGCAAAGAAGAAGTTACTATGGAAGGTTACGAAGCCCAACAAACCACTTCCGAACGACCTCACTAACGAACATTTACTGCGCCTGAACCCGCCATCACCTATCCAGTAGTTCTAATCATTTACTGTGTGTGATTACCAGATAACCTAATTTAAAGGTATTTTACGTCAAGATCAGCTTGATTTCGAAAAGAAACTCCCAGTTATTCTCCGTTTTCCGTAATCGACGACTCCAACCGCTGAAGATGGCGAATTCCGTCGATGATCAACTGTAAGAACATAACAGCTTAGAAAGCCATTTTACTACTAGCGAACATTGACAACCTGCGGTGCCATATGCTCTTTCTACAAAATGATGTTGGAGTGCTCACTGTGACTATACTTGATATTTGATACTTGAATGTCCCGTCCTCACTGGTTGTGCGGGCCCCAGTTTAACGTCCATTTTTCGGAAATATGCTGGCTAAGCCATTATGGTTATCTGGAATCACGATCTCAGCCCGGCCAAAGTCTGCCCCAGGTCTTCACCGCCACAGGCAGTCGCCGCCCTTGTGGATCAGAGGGAGATTTGCCACAATTTGACTAGTTTGGTACCAGGATGGTAGTGGATCCTGGCATTGGTTTAGTCTTAACTAGGCTTCCTTATTGAAACCCCGGACTCCTTTTCAGTTTGGGAGACCCTGCCAAGGGAATGAATCTCCCCGCCATACATCACAGCACGACGCGCAGGAACACCTTCAAGCCACGATAAGGCGGTAAACCGTTGAGAGGCATTGTTACTATGATTAGAATTCTATTGCCACTAGAAGAAACTTGTAGTGAAGTTACAGTATTTGTATTCTAGAAACTATAAAAGTCGAACTTGGAAAGCGACAATGTTTATTCAACTTCAATTCTCAGTACCTGATTCCTTCTTATTTGTTTTTCAGACTAAGGGATGTTCCGACTTAAGTAAAGCAAAAATCAAAGAAATGATGAAAGAAGCTCGACTTATGCGAAATTTCAATCACAAGAATATTGTTCGCATCTACGGTGTTGCGGTTGATGAACAACCGATCTTCATAATTCTGGAATTAGTTTCTGGTATGCTGAACAACATGAACGCAGAGTGTGTAGACGATGCACATTGATCGTCATAAGCGTGGTGATCGAGCGACATTGAATAACCTTTTGGTTTCACAAACACCATTACCTTTTAAGAAGAATAGCAGCACTAGATATATATATTTTTTATTTCATGTTTTCACATGACCCGTCGTCACGTCTACTGTGCGGTTCCTAACATTTCTCAAATTCGAATTGTTTCCTCGCATCCATTGCCCACGATGATCTTCCAACTTTTACGTGTGGCTTCCGCTACTGTTTCAAGATTTCCATTTGGAATGGAGCATTCGCAATTGGATTACAGAGAGTGATTTTTTCCTGCATAAGTCCAGTACCAATTCCCCGACCCCGGAGGGATGAGAGGCTTGGTTCGCACGGAACGGAGTCGAACTAGCACCATGCTCGTGATGACCGATGTCACTACCACTGTGCTATCCTCCTATACATGATATATTATATGTACTATATATGTATGTGTATATATACATATACATATATATATATATATATATATACATTATACCTGATTGGCCGATAACACATCTTCACGAATTACAAATATTTGCGCCTTTTCAAGCAGAATTTCAACCGGTATGATAATTTTTGAGAGTAAAATTTTCTGTCTCTGGTATATGAAAACCTGTACTAGGTGTTTTCAATGTCGCTACTAAATGCCATTAAGTGAGCGTACTAACTATATTGTTCTAAAAATGGTAGCACTTCTGGCAACGATTTACTCTTAACTGGTCTCCCGAGTGCAAGGGTAGAACTTCTCATTATGGCCGACTCTGCTGGGTATGGACCGGAGACTCTGCGGTATATCACAGTCTGAAACCCATGAGCGAAAATGAAGGGGTTCGTGAATATACTACAATTTCTTAAGAGGGTCGATTGCAAAACGAAATACAGTTTAAACCATTACCATGTATTTTTATTCTATTCGTTACATTTGGGGATAAGTCTCAGATTTCGCTTTTTAGGCGGTTCTTTGAAGTCATTTTTGCAAGAGAATGTCAGGAAGGTCGATGTGAAGGACAAAATCGGAATGTGTCTCGGGGCAGCTCAAGGTGTCATGTACTTGCACTCGGAACGTTGTATGCATAGAGATTTGGCTGCAAGGAATTGTCTCATTACTAAGGACAAAGTTGTAAGTCGCTTCTAACAGTCCTAATAAGGTGAGAAACGAATTTACTTCTCTTGACGAAAGGAAGTATGGAAAAGACCGGTTCACTACTGTTGTAGTTCTCCACCGTTCTGTTTTTCTTCATTTTTCGTTTTAAATATTAAACAACTTATTAGCACATTAGAGACGATGCCTTGTTTTGGATGACGGGGCATAAGAGAATGCATAATTATGTGTTGCTGGGAGCTTGCTGGTTCTTCGACGGTAAGCAGTAAGTTTTCGATAGCTGGAAAATTTGTAAGGCTGTGAACATCATAGATTTATTCAAGGACTTTTGGTTATCTCTGTGCGCACGGTACGTATGGTGCTATCTGTTACACGTTACTGTGGTTGCGCCTATAAAGACCTTACTGTCAGCATCTTAGAAGTGCTTTGTAGTTCATGTTGAGTTCATATCTAAATAACAGTAGCCAGTGCCTGAGGCATATGCAACGCATTCGACTTTGTTAATCGTAGAAGTGATTTAATGCATATCTGGCCTATTCAATAAATTGCGGTGGCCTACTGACGTATCAAGTTAGTGCTGCTATCATTCTAGCCATGTCTGGAAGCACTTATCTGTTCTCGGAGAGGCTGAGGGTTTGGTGAGTTCGAAGCGCGGAGTCGAAGAAAGATCCAGTGTGCAATACAGGCCTTTAACCACTGCCCTTGAGGCGCCCATTCATCATTGCGAGTGGAATTGAAATAACAGTGATTTCCTAATCAGATCATTGCCCAGCAAAGCCTTTCGTTAAAATGTTTTTGTACCTTTCTAAGTGCAGAACCGTGGTTTTCCAGACCGCCGCTCGCCACAAAGTCTAGGTTTCATAGGTCATTCAATCATCTTAAAAATTACAGAAAGAACCGTCAACAGGATTCAGTACTCGAATTTTTGAATCCAGCTACACAGAAAACAAGAGGTTAACAATGTGATTCCGAATATAGCCTCAACTTGAATGGGCTCAATGCCGATTTGTGCTTCCTAGATCAATCCCGCTGATGGGTGATCGCTGATGGCAGCGTTAGGTAGAAAACTAGTTAGGAGAAACGCAGAGCGAGGGCCTCCTTGGCGTAGTGTGTAATGCGCGAGCCCCTAAAAAGCGAAATCGTGGTTCGATTTGGCCCTGGCTCTAGGTCCTGCGAATATCTCAGCATCGTTGTGGTTGTAATTCACATCATACTCCACCGTGAAAAATTATAGTAAGCAGAAAATAAAAGGTTATCATTCTTATTTCTGTTAAAAAAATGAGAACTAGGGGTTCACGATGAAATTAAGCTTGAATACACCTTTGAAGGATCACAGTTACCTATTCTCAATGAAAAAATACACTATTATCCATTAGTTTAGGTAAAAGTTAGTGACTTTGGTCTGTCTCGTATGGGTACCTCCTACGTGATGCGTACTGCCATGAGACTTCCAATAAAGTGGCTGGCACCGGAAACTATTTCTACGTTGTCGTTTTCGCTGAAAACGGACGTGTTCAGCTTTGGTGTGATGGTTTATGAGATTTTCTCCGATGGGGCTGAACCATGGGAAGGGAAAACGAACGCACAAGTCAAAGTCGCTGTAAGTTCAGATTTACTGCTCTTTTATATCTCCTGTTAAGAAGTTCGGATTTGAGCTTATACCCCAAACTCATGAGTGATTGGTTAGCACATTTTTCTAGCCACAGAAGCCGTCGGTTTTCCGAGAAAGTCCAAGAGAGTAGTGACCATGCTACCGGGATCGTCTACAACTCGTTTTGTATTCGTTTCAGGTGACGAATGGTGAGTTTGTACAGTTGCCAAGTTGCTGTCCCGAATCGCTTCGCAACTTCTTCGCTACTAAGGTCTTCGTAAAAGATCCAGAATCTAGAGTTAACATGACAGACGTATGTGGATTATGGTTTCACTGTGTTCCATTAGTTTATAAAATCTTCTCGTATATGTTTTCATAATGTTTAAGGTAGTAATCGCTTTTGAAAGGGCAACCGGCTCTGAGAACTCAGCCTTTCGTATAAGACGAAAATTTATGGGTTTCATGCATGACGTGCCAAGGTTGAGTTCATTGTAGTTATTTGAATACCATAAACGAAACCAATTGAAGTATTCGAACCAGAAGCTATCCCGAGATCTTCTAACCACCGCACACATATGGTTTTCAACGCTTCCGTCTTGAACGAGTTATGCCGTATTGGTGACTTTCTGTAAAACTACAATACTTGGTACTTGATACTTGAATGGCCTGTCCACACTAGTTGTGCGGACCCCAGCATAATCTCCATTTTTCGGAGATTTACTGGTTAAGCCATCGTACTTCCCTGGAATCCCGAAGTCAGCATGGCGAAGGTCTACCCCAGGTCTTGACCACCACAGGCAATTGCGGCTCTTGCGGATCAGAGGGAGATTTGCCACCATGGGACTTTGATACCAGGGCAGTGGTAGATCTTGGTATTGGTTTACTACTAGCTAGGCTTCCTGGTGGAAACGCCGGAGGACTCCTTCTCAGCTCGGGAGATCCTTCCAGGGGATGAATCCCCCTCTGTACATCGCAGCCCGTCACCCAGAAACACCTCCCAGCCATGGTGAGGCGGTAAACAGGAAAGTTACAAATTACAATATATCTTTGAAACATGTAGTCCCAACTAGGAGAATACTAAAGATGTGGTCTAAATTTTTTAAAGATCTGAAGTTTTTATGTCCACTTGACAATGATAATCTGTATTCATTTAGAAAATCACGGCTTAGCAACGTGATGTCGTCGATTTCAAAGCCGACTTAATGAAAATGAAGGCATAATGTTAATCTTGGTTAAATCGAGATCATATTCAGTACAATAAAATGTCCTGTAAGTTGTTGACTTTTCACAAGCCAACAACCCCCACATTCGTCATTTAACACTAATTTTATCACTAGTGTTCGGAGGAAAAGAACTGATGAAGAATTTGGTGAAATACAAACTAAGTTCCAACCCTTTGAAGAATATAAATAGTAAAAAGTTCGTCTTCAGAAAGAAACACTGGAATTTCGCGTCAGCAGAATAAGAAGTTCTGGGTTGACATTTGGTTGAAAAACATTGACATAGAACTTTTCGTAACTGAAATCCAGTCCCATACAAGAATAAGAGTGTGGTTAACTTGAAGAAGATATAGCTCGTTATTCCTTCTGAGTTGGGTCCCATTAATACACTGTCGTCAATTCCTCGGCGAAGAAGTCACAGAGTTAAATGAGTTCTATGATGAATCCCGAAGTAGTAAACCTCCGTACGAGCCAGAACAGCCAGTAGCTGCCTCTGGTCAAGAGTTGCGAATGCCCTAACACGGATGCCGAAGACTCAGGGCGAACCCTGCTCATTGAGCACTGAAGAACCATCTCAGTAGAAAATATCACAGGCGGTTCTCAGGTACAAACCCATTCACCTCTAAGAGAAACGCATTTTATTTGATGACGGACCATCTGAGTATGTTGAAATTTTATTGATATCCTTTAACTATTATTCTTTCTCGACACTGATAACCTTACATTTCTGGTCTGCTTATTTCACTCTGCTTTGGCTTTCTTTCTTTCTTCTATTACTAACGATGGATTTCACCTAGGAAAGACAGTTGTTATAATTTGAAGACAATATTTTCACTGTTTGATAGGGACAACTGCAATAACAGCCAATGTTATCTTCTATGGTGATGTAACAGAAAAGAGCGTTACTTAGAAAGGATCACATGCCTTCATTTAGTTGTCGTAAAGTGTCGGAAATCTATAGGTTGGTGTCTCTTGGAGCCTAAAAAACTCAGGATATATTTAGGATTAAGTAAGAAAAAGTGGGATAAACTACATTGTAATACTTATTGGAACAAGCAAAAAAATAGATCAACTAGTTTTGTAATAGAGACTCTTGTTTGTCGGTCCTTCGCTTTCGAACCTTCTAAATCTAACAAAAACGATGAACTACCACCGTAGAGTCTAATTTTATGGCTCACATACCAGTTGTCCTCACTCCATTTCGTGTTCTTGGCCTCCATGACATGAAGTGTGTAGGCGTGACGGCTATTCGATGAAGTGTTGGTGGCGCTCTTGTGCACTACCAAGCCATGAATCAAAATCACCGAACCTAGAATTGTTAGGTTATCAATGTTTCTGAACTATTTCATTGTTTACGAAGCAGTTAATATAGCTACTCTGAGGCGTTCACAGACTCGTTTAGATTTAAGCTTAATCGCAAGAGCTACGGTATATTGCCCCTCAGATGCACTGTTTGATGAAGTGAAACAAAATAAACCTATACTCTTTTGAGACGAACGTTTTTAACAGCAGCATAGTGGCACACTGTTCTTCAGATCCGCCTTATTCACCATGTCTTCATTCGTAATGGTCGTAAGTTGAAACGAAGGCTGGGAGTTTTGGTTTTCCTTCAAGCTTCCACTCTCAAATGCCCGCTATCTAATTCAGTTCTTCATCCGGTTTGTGAGATCGCTCGCTCAACTGTTAGCAGAAGACGATGCTGTCAAAGGAATCACTATCACTATTGAAGAATACGAGTCGCACGATAGCAGGCTTCCCTTCGATCACGTGAGCCACCGACTGTCTGTTGTGACTACCTGGGAACACCTTACTACCTCTATCTCAGGATTCTGGAGAAAACTACGGTCTATCATCGGTGCAGGTGTCACTGAGAAGTGACGGAAGATCTTCCACTAGCACCCGAACACACACGATTCTGACTATCTGCGCGGATGCCCGCTGCAAAGCAGTGGAACGAAAAGGAGAAGTGCTGGCACTCACACTACTTGTGATGATGAGCAGTCTAAGTATCTATGAGAATACGAGCCGCATCACACAGCCAGGGTATATTGATATTTTGATATTTTTTGTATTTTACAGTTAAGATTACCTTTTTTGGCTGGGACGTGCACGAACTTCGATTGATCATAAGTGGGACGGTTGCCGACAAACTTCAACAAGGCACTCCCATCGGTTTTATGTGTCCTTACAAAACGGTAGTCAACAAATGATCCTGGAAGTACATTCTTTTTAATTCAATTCGTTAACTAGTAGACTAATGCCTGATGTTCTCCTATTGCTACCACGAAAACAATCTCTTCAATGATTCACGAGACGTGTGAACACAAAACAAAATAACCGGAGCATGCCAAAGTAAGAATATTTAAACAGAATATGTTCTTTGTTCCCGATTAATCTCATTCACGGCGTATAATTGTTACTGCCATCGCTTTCTCTGAGGTGAAAACACTACAGACATTCCAGATTACCACCGTATTTCGAAAGGTAACATCTTCGGCAATTTCACTGCTAATCAGCAAAAAATACAAGTTTTAGGATAATTTTTCTTATCCTTTCTTACTTTTGTGACTGCCTGGAATAAACGCCAAACATCCGTTTTCCTCGTCCGCGTCGTCGATGGCGATCCACACCCCAGTTAGTAGTTCGATCGGCTCCACATACAGGAACGTGGCGTCAAAGTGGTCGGTGACGGCGCCTCCAATCTTCGGCTGCTGTAATGAATTGATGCTGACTTACACAGAATATTTAATTATCTAATTTTGTTTGCTCTTCATAGTAGAATCCAATCTTAGGGTCTAACAACACCTCTTGTATTTCGTGGTGGTCAACTACCAGTGACATAAACGATAAAAGGATAAAGCTCTCGGCGTTGATCAATCCTTAGAGGGATGGGCCATGCGTTTGACTTCATTGAGCATCAATAAAGACGATTCAATGAATATATGCCCTTTACAGTAACTCGCGGTGACCTGCCGATATATCGAGTCAGTACTGCTACTCTTTCAGACATGTCTGGTACCACTTTTCCGACTCCGGAGGAATGAAAAGCTTGGTGAACCTGGGGTGCGAGATCGAACCCATGTGTATTACAGGGCGATTCTAACTAGTAAGCTAAACGCGCCTCCAGAGCATTGATATGTAGGCTAAAACTGAAAAAAAGGAGAAAGGGAAAACCATTTTAAAAAACGAAAAAAAACAAAAGAAAACTGCAAAAAAAGAACGCAAAAACTAAGTCGTTCATGCAAAGTTAGTGAAATAGAAACCTACCATCAATCTTGTGTTCGCTCAATTATTTAAGGAATTATCGATTATTTGTGCCAGGGTTAAATGGAATTTAGTTTTTAGAGGTACATTCCACGGACCTTCCTCATATGAGGGATCTCGAGCCCGTTAGTCGCGAGGCTACGGGGCGCATCCCCAGGTGGCGGATAGGGAGTTAACCGCGAACCAAAAGCGACCTTTGCTCCCCTGAGACGGAGGTGGACGGGGATGGACTCCCTGCTTCTGCTGGGCTGAGTTGGCACATACTTTCTGTATTTGCTAGGCGTCTTCATGCATGCGTATATAGGCGCGTTCTCGCTTATGCGGATTGTATTCTACGAGTCAATCCGGACAAAAACCTGCAATCAAGTGACAGGGAAGTGTATGGGAGCCAGCCAGGAGCTGCCTTCAGCAAATAAGTTCCACGTCTTCTTTGGGAGATACTGGCATGGCAACCTACTCGAGAGTATAACCAGCCCAACGCTCAGAGCTCAACAAGCTATGCGTGGGTATCAAAATGCTAAACACAATAAAAAAAATGGGACTCATTCCCCTGACTCCGAAAGAGCCCCCAATTTCGCAGCGTTGGGTAGGACGAGTGCAGAGAGGGTGCTAAAATATTTAGGCCAATGGAAGCTGCCTGGATTTCAAAGAACTATAGTGACGATCTGTAGCTACAATGCACGTATACTTGCATCCGAGTCCTCGATAGAGGACTTCCTCATGCAAGCAAGAAGGATTAGGTACGACGTCATCGGCCTGGCCCAGACGAGGAGACGCCAGCCTTTCAACCCCGTCTATGACACCGGAGAACTGTTCCTCGGAACATGCGGCAGGAGAGGAGTTGGCGGCGTCGGCGTTCTCGTCAACACGAGTTTGTCCATGAACATCTATTCATTCGAACAACTTACAATCTGGATCGAACGTTTACGATTAAAAAGACGTGGATCAATTCCGGCTTTGACATTCTTCGTCGTTTACGCGCCGACATCGAACTATGACGAAGGAGAAGTCGAAGCGTTCTATATGGACTTCGACGTGCTACAGAGAAGACCACACATTCTTCAAGGTCATCATTGGAGATTTCAGCGCCAAAATTAGACCAAGAAGAACGTCTGAAGAAAGTCACATTGGGACCCACGGATTAAAATGGAACGAACCGGGTGAGCGGCTGCCTGAGTTTATCATGGCGACCAAGACAATTCATGGTAACTCGCAATTCCAGAAGTCCCACCCTCAGTGCTGGACGTAGGAGTCTCCCAATGGAGAGTGCCATAACGAAAATAACGAAATAGACCACATCATAGTAAATAGAAGATTTTGCCTAACCGATGTCGCTGTTGTCCCAAAATTCTACACGGGATCAGACCATCGTCTCCTTCGTGCAAGATTCTATTTCTCGCGGAAGGGATAAAAAGCCGCTAAATTCCAAAACCGAAGTCCCAGAACCACCGCAAACTGGGACTTGATCAATTCATTGGTCGGCTGTTGGGAAGATGCCGTTGTCGGTAACATCGACGCAGAATACAATCCACTCATTCAACATCTTCTCGTTAGCGCTATGAAAGCTGAAAGCTGGAAAGTCAAAAAGAGACGTCTGTCTCCAGAAACACTCGAGTTGATACGCCAGCGTGGAATGGCACGAGCTGCAGGCAACCGCAAACTAACGTCCGAACTTGCAAAACAATGCAGACAGGCGATAAAACAAGATCTTAAAAAGAGAAGAGCAGCAGTAATGGCCGAAACTGCAGAACCTGGGAAAAGCATTCGCAAAGCCCACCGAAGCTTCGCAAATTATAAGACCAAGATGATTGCACTCCGACGCCCAAACGGAAAAGTTACAGCGTCCAGAAAGGCAATGGAGAAAATCATTTACGAATACTACTCGGATCTCCTCGATAGCCACGTCAACCTTTCATCATATGAAGTAGAGGATAGATTTATTGTACCACCGGTTCTCCCTTCCGAAATCCGACATGCCATTTCGTCGGTCGAAACTCGAATGGCACCATGTCCGGGAAGGATAAGACAAGAACACTTGAAGAACCCTTCGCCAGTTCTCGCCAACACACTGGCTCGGCTCTTCACACGTTACTTGTCTGAATTTAAGGTTCCTACTCAGTGGAAGACCAGCAAGACTGTGTTATTGCTCAAGAAGGGTGACCTACACGATATCGGCAACCATCGTCCAATCTGCTTACTGTCTGTCGTCTACAAACTTTTCACTCGAGTCATCCTAAACGGGATTGAGAGAACACTAAACGAAGGACAGCCATGTGAGCAAGCAGTGTTTCGAAGAGGATTTAGTACAATAGACCACATCCACACGGTAACACGGCTCATTGAAGCATCGTGAGAGTACAAAAGACAGCTCTGTCTCACTTTCATCGATTTACAGAGGGCCTTTGATTCAGTTGAGATAGAAGCAATCATGGAAGCCTTTGATAGCCAAGGTGTCCCTAATCAGCACACAAAGATTCCTCGTAAGCCGTACAAAAATTTTACAACCAAGGTATCACCATTCTGCAACGATATTAACATTTAAAAGATTGCTGAGATATTTGCAAAACTCCGGACCGCAGGAGTCTGCGGTGGGGAACGAACGCGCTATTGACCTTTCCGGGGAGTAACGCGTTCACCACCACACCATGCGAGTCCTTCGTTTCGCCTGACTCTCAGCTAGTTCTATCGATCTGTGCCATCGGCAATCACCCGTCAACGGGATTCCTCTGGGGAGCCCACATTGGCATTGAAGCGAGCTAAGCTGAGGCTGTAGTTGAATTCACAATGTTTTACTTTTTATTTTCTGCCTTCTCTAATTTAATGGCAGGGTATTGAGCGAAATATAACCGAAATACCCTGCCATTAAATTATAGAAGGCAGGAAATTAAAAGTAAAACACTGATATTAACATTGACGCCAGAAGAGGTGCTAGGCAAGGCGATACCATCTCGCCAAATTATTTACCGCCACGCTCCAGAACGTCATGCGAACATTGGAATGGGATAATATGGGAGTGAAAATCGAAGGTCGGCAGTTACGCCATCTTCGCTTTGCTGATGACATTGTCCTTGTAACACCAAACATTAGCCAAGCGGAACGTATGCTTGACGACTTTGATAAAGCCTGTGTGGAAAGATTGGTCTTCGACTAAATCTCACAAGAACGATGTTCATGAAGAACGGATTGGTTTCGCATGCCCCATTCACGTTCAACGGAACGAATATCTCCGAATGCTCCAGTTATATCTATCTAGGTCGGAAAATCAATATGATGCACGAACTAGCTCCGGAGCGGAGCAGAAGGAAACGAGCGGCTTAGGGAGCTTTCAAGAGCATCGAGGATGTAGTGAAGAGAACAAAGCACCCGACTCCGTGCCCACCTTTTCGACTCAACGGTACTTCCTGCCCTAACGTATGCGTCAGAAACCTGATCGCTACGTAAGCAGGATGAAAAATCACTCAGCGTTATCGAACGCGCAGTCGAAAGGACGATGCTAGGACTATCCCGTTCCACACAAGTAAGGGATGGGATCCGAAGCTCCGATCTGGGCCAACGATCAAAAATCAGATGTCGTTCTGTACGTCAACAGTCCAAAATAATATGGGCCGGACACGTAATGCGTGTGAATGACAATCGTTGGACAAGAGCCGTTAGTGACTGCATTCCTCGGGATGTCAAACGTACTGCAGGAAGACCAGCGACCCGATGGTCAGAGTTCTTCACAAAGAGCCTTGAAGAAAGATATGATGCTCGACGAGTCCCTAGAACGAGCAGAACCCACTAGTTTACTCTTGCACGCGACAGGAAAAAATAGAAGATTTCCTGGTGCCCGCTCGAGTCACTCAGCGATCAACGGGACTACAGGTGATACAGGTGAATAACAAAAATAAGAGCTGTAATAGTCTCAACGATCTTCATAATAATTATTTGTGATATAATAGTATTGCAGCGCTAATAATAGACACGCAGGTAGCGGAGTGGCAGTGATGCCAATCACTACGACCACGGTCATATTTCGACCACACGGTTATGATGACAAAGTCCTGCTCTTTAGTTGCTTCCGTGTTTGAAATATGAACCTTGGAGCAATAAATTGGAACAAATATATGTCATATGCTCCAAAAATTACAAGTTTACCTTGGTAGGACAACAAAACTACCCTGAAAAAGATTTTGGATTCCAATAATTTTTAATTTTTTTCTTACTTTGTACGAACCGCCTTCACACCTACTGCACTGATACCAGCACTTATCACATTCGATTCGTTTCCTCGCATTCATCAACCACGAAGGTCATCCAACGTTTAACGTGTGGCCTCGGTTGCTGGTTGACGATTTTCGCTTCATCTTAAATGTCGTAAATAGCTAGCCCAGTCGATTCTCCCTGGAGTCCTGAGATAGCCGGGCTGGAGCGTTGCCATTTGCATTGCAGAGAGTGATTTTTCTCCGGACAAGTCCGGTACCAATTTGCTGACCCCAGAGAGATGAGAGGCTTGGCGAGCCAGAATCGAACTACTACCGTTCTCATGATAACCGGCATCTCTGCCACTGTGCTATCTGCCCCTAAAATTAACAATACAGAAATAAAATTTATGGTGAACTGAGAGATGTTGATTTAAAGTTCAAGCGGCCAATAATTTTGCATCGTTTGGCTCCTATAGAAATCACATTATCACCTAAGTGTTAAAGAGTAATAAGAAGAGCAGGGCGAAATCAGAGAAATCAGTGAACACCGCGCTTCAATTTGGTCTTCTATAAAATATGGGGTCATGAACCACTTTCATCGTCGTAGCCATGCGCCTTTAGTTCAGTTGATTCCGGAATATTTCTACCGCACTATAGATATTCATTCATTTGATAGCCTATCGAAAGCTTTAAAAATAATAGGGATGAGATCGGAAACCCCATTCTCTTCACTTAATGATTTACAAAAGAGAAAAACTTTCTTCAAAAAAGTTCATTGACCAGCCATTTGACTAACAATCAACTTTTATTTCTTAGAAATCGATTTTCATTAAACCTCACTAGGAGTAATCAGTAATTTTCCACGTAACAGAGCTGACATGAGGTTGATGTTGATACGAGTCAATAGTTCCAGGCTAGTCGTTGTCCCCTTGTGAGCGTTCACAGTCGCAAAGAAAAAGCAGATCTTGTTAGATAGCAACTGACTAAAATCCGTCCTGTATAGAAGGGAGAAGTGAGCAGTGCTCCTTAGTCTGAATTCGGTTCGATGCGACTATGAACACTCACATCGGACAACGGCTAGCTTAGGACGATTGCCTAAGATCAACACGGCTCTGAAGAATGCGAAAGCGCCAAAACATTAGCCGAATGAAAGTTTGTATATCAAGCTCGTGTCAGTTGAATTATGCAGAAAATTACTGCTTAACCATTATTTCACAAAGTCTCCTCTATAAGCCTTTTCATATACAAAGCTATAAAGTTATTGAGAAATTACTTTTTATTGTCAAGGAATCAAGAAATCCGTAGCCGAGGAAAAATTGGTCGTGTTGCATTTAGAACGCCAGGCTAAACGCTTCACGTTCGTTATGTATTAAAACTTGGGCAACGACGTGCCTTTCTTGAAGTCATTTGTCATGGGGAGCAATGGCCGGAATGACCCCTAAAGAAGTTATTTTGTTTCTGGTGGTTTATTTTGGCCAGCAAACTGCTCCCTATACCTCTCGTGGCCCGTCGATTGCTTGGTAAACAAGGAGCTTGTGATGACGTCGTCCCAGGACGAGCTCTATTCTGCATCGAGAAATATGCAAAAAGTTATTCACACAAAAGAATTCATTCACCACCAAATCGACCGGCTATTTACTGTTACTTCAGTTCCAATCTCGCTATAATGATTTATTGTATGGAATGGTCGTATGCAGAAAGTACGAAAAACGACACAACAGAAGTTGCAAAACACTTCCAAATGTTGACTGCAATGTGTTTATGTGCTGGGTCGTAAAAGCGGGAGTGGAGGGAGTGGGGTTAGGAGTGTGGGTTATCGTACATGGCGTGGGTTACTGTACATGATTCTCTGACGGGTCGTAGCAACATATAATAAACAGTAATATGCTAACCACTTTTATCCACACAGCCATAGAACAAATTTTTTCTCAACCTGTCAAGCCTTCTGATTATTGAAGTACTGTCGCCTACTGTCGAGAAACTAGCAGGTCCGTAAAGACATAAAATTCGGCACAGCCCAATGTGGCTTTAGGTCTCGCCGTGTAAACGATAAAAATCAAAATAAATAGGCTAAGAAAATCGTATAATGAAACATATTCATAAATACGATTAGTAAACTCTTAAAAACATCCCAACAGTTTACCACCTCGTAGTGGCTGGGAGGTGTTCCTGGGTGTCGGACTGCGATGTGTAGCGGGTGGATTCGTCCCCCCGGCAGGGTCTCCCAAACTGAGAAAGAGCCCGGCGTTTCCATCAGGAAGCCTAGTTAAGAGTAAACCAATAATAGGATCCACCACCATATTGGTATCAAAGTCGCATGGCGGTAAATCTCCTTCTGATCCACAAGGACTGCGACTGCCAGGCTGCCCTCGGGATTCCAGGTAACCACAATGGTTTAACCAGCAAATCTCCGAAGAATGGTGATTATGCTGGGGACCGCACAACTACTTATGACGGGCCGTTCAAGCATCAAGTAAGTAAGTAAGTAAACTCTTAAAAGACCACTACAACTTACTTTATTCTCATTGTACGTCAAAAAAACACTCTTTGGTTGTTGGTCGAAATCGATTTCCGTAACGAGATGATCGACTTCGTTCTTCATTTCTGATACTTCGTCTACGGTGTAGAGATTCTCGATAACAGCGTAGCCATTGCTCTCGAAATGTTCTCGCCAAGACATTAACGTGTTGAACTGACTCTAGGAAATGTAAGATCAAGCAGAGTGATGTGGATCTTCCTCAGCTGGACAGAAAACAAGAACAACGGATGATCATCGAGAAGCAGAACAGCTGCAGAAGCTACCGTCACCATGAATGAATGCCATGAATGAACTATGTCACCGTCGTCGTCGATGATTTGAATAAAAGTGAATGAAAATCACACAACACCGCACAGGTTTGAGGCAATCGATACAGCACACTGGCAGGTGACATCACTAACCGATTTGCAGGCCATGTCGAATGCACCGATATGATTAGATACGCGTATTGTAGAGCGTTGACCGATAATAATTCGTTGGTAATCAGTTTACTTTGCATAGTTTGAGATTGTTTGATAGCTTAGACAATGATTTACTCCCTATTGCTCCTGGTCCTTAAGAAAATTGCAGTGTTCACCAGATCTCATTAGATCATAACTATAGCATTCATACCTCAGAAAGAATTGGAGTTTTCGGAATAATGAAACTTAAACCAAGAGTGAACTTTGTTCCAAGGTCAAATACAATCCTCTTCCTAAATGTCGAGATCATTGTTTTAACCTTCCCTGGTCTTAGAAGGCCTCTAGAGGACATGGTTCACTTGGTAAGCGGTCGAACCAAGGGACACGTTGTGCGCGTTGCGTGCGCATCATCGCTAACCACTGTGCTTCTGATACGAGTATCGAAATGTAGTGGGATTTTGTGTTCATTTGGTTGACGCGATAATTCCTCATGCTCAGCACTATGGTCATGAAAATCGTGAAGGCAATGCTAAAGAAGCTAACAATTCATGAATCACTAAAGAATCCAGAATTCATACTCCAATCAATCCGTTTAATAGACCGCCGTTACCAGTTATGTGAAATGGTAAAGCTTTTGGCGCTGATCAATCCCTTAGGGATGCGCCATGCGTTCGACTTCCTTAAACATCGTCCGTAGATGAATGGATGCATATCTGGCGTTTACAATTACTCGCGGTTGCCTATCGATATATAGAGCTGCTATCCTCTTAAACAAGCCCGGCACTAATTTGCCGACTCCGGAGGAATGGGACGTTTGCTAGGTCAGTGGTGCGGGAATCGACCCCACGTTTTAGTGCAAAGCGCCTCCGACCACTGCGCCACACGCACCCATAACCAGCAACATAACACACAAAAATACCATGAATTGAAACAACCAAATAACAAAGATATGCGCACAATGGGACTTAGTGTAAAAAAAAAGTCCACTCGTTCCAACTAATAAATGTCGAATAAAGGACTTCCTCAACCTTATAAAGTTCTGCCCATTGCTTTCCCACATTATCACACGTTTTTCCAGTTGTGCTTGTAACACATCATTTGTAGTGGCTAGAGGTACCTTGTATTACACACAAAATCGCCCGACTGCTGATTTGATCCCGTGTCCTGAGCTTACCAAGCCTTCCATCCCTCCATGATCGGGTCATTGGTAACAGAACTAGTCGGAAGGACATCCCACTCACTTTGATAGATCGCTTGGTCACCAGAAGTTACTGTATTGGTAGATGTGTAGTCGAGCAGCTCTGCAGTGCATTATGAAGTCGAATGAATGGCGCACCCCTGACGAACTGGTCAAGGCCGAACGCTTTATCCTGATATTACTTCACGCATCTCCTCCAAAAACCTACGTTTTCTTGTTGGTTTAACTCCTTATTTAAAGCGCTTTTATTTATTGATCACGTTATTATATATTTTTTGATTCTATATCCACTAATGTCGTTATGTTGTTGATGATGCCTCTATACATTAAGGTTTAACTACCCAATTTTGATGTTTCAAACCCCGACACGTAGAATTCTTGCGTAGCACGCCAAAAGAGGAAGCGCATATATCAAGACGTGCTCCACCACACTGTTCTCAGACTTAGAATGGTTCTTCCATCACGGACTTATTTCCCATTCATCCGTCTTCGAATTCTCTTCAGTCTAGCAGTAACTTATTGTTACTTAAACCCGCTATACCAGCAACTCCCACGATATGAATCACAGTTTTACTAATCATTTAATGATGGAAATAACGGTTGCAGGTATGACGATAAAATTAGAAGGAACATTAGCAAAATTACCGCACACACTTCTAGCCACGATGACATCCGTATTGCGAAACCTTGCTAAAAGCTTATGTTATGCCAAATCCGCCTTAAACTTCCTCTCTTTTTATTAAAAAACGCCTGAGATTACTTCAGGGAAACAATGTATAAAATTGAATGAATAATAAGTCAAAAGACGTTCTCCATGAGTCGTCTGGGGCTAATCTTGCTTCGCTGTAGTGGTCGTTGCCTCGAGATTGAGGTATAGGTGACCCGGACGATTCCCTGCTTTGACTCGACCAACGAAATCAACCCAGTGGGTTCGGTGATGACGCTCTTCCTTCTCCATGAGATAGTCGTATAAGTTTAGAGTTTCTGGAATGTTCATCCGAGAATAAATAAAAGAAGGATAACATTTGATGACTCTAACATATTTTCGAATATTATACAAAGCTAACACTTTCTTCGAAAATTCATGATATTCTGGTTCAATCCAGAAATTATCGAACCACAATATACATATGCATGAATCGCATTCCACTTTCGCTCTCTTCAAATTCAAAACCTTATTTCCATTCATCGATTACACCTTTGAAAAACGGATAACATTATAAAAACAAACCATTTGGCTTCCACAAATAACAGGCCTTTCGCGATTTCTTGGGAGGTGGAGAATTGCTTCGACTAAGATTCCTGGTTTCACATGGCGCTGACGGCGGAACAAAAGCAGTTTGCAAAGTTGAATTCACCGTAGCTGCATCTTGCCCTCTAGTTACAAAATCTATCAGTGAATTTAACAAGAATAAACAGAAACGTACATTTTAAAGCGCTTTAAGCAAGAAGAAAAGGACGTATATGAGTTTGAAGAAAAGATATAATACCAGACACCCAAAAAACATTTCAAGTTGAACCAACATATTAATACACACTTGATACGTCATGCAGCTGGGCTCTTCTAGCGAAATAAAACACGGTTTAGCAATTCCCAATTCCATTTCGAAAAAAAAGGTAAAAAGAGAAATTTGACATAAAAACATAAATGTGATATCCTCAAATGTTAATCACCGATAAGAATCTCTACAGAGCATACCGAGTTCTGTCTGCCAAAACCACATCAGAAGTCAACACTTTTGCCAGGCGTTCTAGTCCGGTTAATTGCGTGAACAGTTGGAATATCTACAAAATATGAAGCGATATGAAGATGACAGTACACAACTTCACAAATACTTAACAAAACAGAAAAGAACTCAGCATGGCAAAAAAAAATACATGAAAAACAACTGTGCAGTTCTCGATGAGCTGGTATAAGGTTGCTACCTCGTTTTAGTCAACGATGGTTAACGTTTCAGCAGAGAACGCCTTTCCACAGCCTGGAGAGTGGGATATAGCCGTATTACGAGAGACACTATTCCAATAAAAAGGATATAGAATAAAGGTCTCGGCGTTGATCAATCCTTAGGGGACGTCCCATGCATTCGACTTCACTAAGCATAACATTAGAGGTGATTGAATGCATATTTGGCCTTCCAAATGACTCGCGGTGGCATAGCGATGTACTGAGCCAGTGTTGCTATCAACCCAGATAATTCCAATACCAATTTGTCGACGCCGAGGGGATAGAAGGCTTGGTGGGGCACTGGTGCAGGAATCGATCCCATGTGTGTATCGCAGGGCGCCTCCGACCACTGCGCCACACGCGCCCTATGCTTTTCCTACATCAGTACAAATCGAAGTTCAAATTACAATAGTGGTAAAAAGCTTTGTACCCGATCAGTGGTTCTCTGCTCTCTAATTTTCAAAAAGTGAGACACACGTGCATTCCTCACATGGAGCAATGAAACTCATCCACATCATAAACGCAACCAAAAGTATGATGCCAAGTAACCTTTGATAACAAGGCACTATCATTTTGCCCTATTTTCGGACTTTTAAAAATCATATAAAACATCCCAAAATCCTCCGCTGATACTTTTATCTCATATTTCCAAAAATGAAGTAGTTTTCTGCATTAATATATTCATTAACATACGTGTTTTGCGCGTAACCTGTGCAATATCCGTCTTAGCTGTTGAAGAAAACTAGAGGTGGCTGCAAACTGACACTTGGGGTATTCAATGCTGGTTCAACGAATGCCACCCATTTCCTCAAACCAGCATTTTCAGGCACTGTCTGACAGCGATGCTCACGCCGCTGGAGATAGAACGAAAGTTGAACGGGATTTTAATAAAGCTGAAATGAAAACTCTTGGTAGCTCCTTTTCGTCTGGATCCAATTTGAGTGACAACTAGTGAAGACAACTGAGAAGGCTACGCTTCTGATAGGCTCCTTTCGTTTCAGGTAATTTGGTTTGCAATATTTTTTCTTTCCAATGCTGTACCGTTATAGATTATTACAAAGCTCATTTTACATCTTGCCTCCGTATAATTGAATTTGAATACAAAGGTTGTTTTTGATAAAATTTAAAGGTTAGAGTTTTAGTTGTCAACACAGAAATTTAGAAAAATCCACTACGAATTTGTATTCGGACGAGGTATAGCCAAGCAGCTCTGGACACTAATGTAGTATAGGACCAGTGATATTTTGTCGAATCCACAGTGCAATGCCGGTTTACAAATTTTCGTCATGGCGAATTCGACCTCAATGCTGAGGGGAACTGCGGACGTCCTGCTACTGACAATGCTGAGTTGCTTTTACTGCTAGTAAATACACACACACAACTGTTCGAGAACTTGCAGAAGAACTTAGTTAACCACCTTAACTCTTTTGAAACGTTTAGAGAACATTAAAAAGTCGAAGAAGCACGAGAAATGAATGCCACACGAATTGAAAGGCAATTAAATAACATGGCGTTTTAAGCATCGTCGGCGCCTCCTCTGCGCAACCAGAGTGAGCTGTTTCTCGATCGTACTGTGACATCCGACGACAAATGAATC